TGAATAGAGGACGATCATTGGGAGACACCAGAGGGAAATGGAAGTGGCAGGAGGTGGCTCTGGTGCAGGAATGCCATCCATCCATCCATATTATCCTCTGGATTAATGGCATCCAGGAAAAGTGCCGCTCCCTGGGTCTCTACACGTGAAGTGTGAATACAAATCACCTTTTACTCACTGGTAATTTGGGATAGTGTACTTAATAACCATTTGCAGACTGATCGTCTTCATTGTTTTGTGCATCAGGGAGGGGAATTTTTTTTTTTAACCAATGTTCTGTTCTTGCTCACCCTTTCTGAGGTGGTAAAGGGAGGGAATGTATAAGTTTCCATTACTGGCTAGAGAATAATAGATAATATTAGACAATAGGATTAGCAATTAATTGGGTGCCCACCATGACAATTTGGTGAATGGTTAGGGATGTACACTAGAAATGGGCAAGGCTGCTTGGTTTCATTCTGGAAAGTTGAGCAGGGATGGGATGAACAAAGGATTGAATTGTTCCAGTGGAAATGTGGAATGTGAAATTTTGGAAAGGATTCCAGAGTGCTGTCTAGACGTGTGTAGGAAAGCTGCAAACATGACCACCTGATGATCCAGGCTGTGCTGTGACCCTCAGCATGATTCGAGGTCATCCCGAACAGGTATAAATGGGTATTAAATAGCAATTTCCCACTCTGAATGCTTTTGAGCCTGAAGTTGACACATTGAACAGACACCCCCTCAGGATACAGCTTGTGAGATTCTAGGATTCCGGCATGAGGAGAGCTAGATAACAATGTCCTTCCATATTTATGTCTTCAGGCATATAAAGCAACATCTAGCAAAATCAGGGCCATCTGCGAGTTGTACTGAATCATCTGTCACATGCATGTAGATCCAATATTAACACAAATAACTGTATTGTGAGAAGAAGAGGCTCCCTCAGAGAATTTTCAACATCTCCAGTTGCAGTGAAATTCACTTTAAACAAAAACTACTCCCAAATGAAGGTTAGTCTCCTAATGGGAAATTTCACCCCTTCACTCTGGGGCTTCCAGTATGAAAAGTATTGAATCTCTAAGATAAGGACAATTATGCTATTTGCATTAGAAATACAATAACCGTGCAGATAAACAGTTTCATATAGGTAAACAAATTATCTTAAACAAGAATCAGTCGAAGTACAGGTAGCCCTCGACTTACAACAGTTGATTTAGTGTCTGTTCGAAGTTACAATGGCACAAGTGACTTATGACCATTTTTCACAACCGTTACAGAATCCCCATAGTCAGATGCTTGGCAACTGGTTCATATTTATGACAGTTGCAGTATCCCGGGATCGTATGATCACCTTTTGTAACCGTCTGACAAGCAAAGTCAATGAGAAAGTCAGATTCACTTAACAACCACATTACTAACTTAACAATTGCAGGGATTCACTTAACAATTGTGGCAAGAACGGTCCAAATGCAGCAAAATTCATTTAACAAATGTCTCACTTAACAACAATAAATTTTAGGCTCAATTGTGGTCATAAAATGAGGACTACCTGTACTCAGTGCATTGGCCAGTCTCTTGATTCCCTGCAGAAAAATTTGCTCAGAGCTAGCAGGTTGTATAGGACAGATCAAGCTCCTTGAAGATGTAGCATATTTCTAAGACACAGAACATTTTAAAATCAACCAATTCTTCCTCCTCCCTTAACAGAACAACAGAGTTGGAAGGGACCTTGGAGGTCTTCTAGTCCGACCCCTGCTCAAGCAGGAGACCCTGTTCCATTTCAGGCAAATGGTTGTCTAATCTCTTCTTAAAAATCTCCAGTATTGGACCACCCACAATTTCTGGAGGCAAGTTGTTCCACTGATTAATTGTTCTAACTGTCAGGAAATTTCTGGTTAGTTCTAGGTTGCTTCTTTCCTTGATTAACTTCCATCCATGGCTTCTTGTCCTGCCTTCAGGTGCTTTGGAAAATAGGTTCTAACTGTCATGAAAATAGGTTGACCCCCCTCCTCTTTGTGGCTGCCCCTTAGATATTGGAACACTGCTATCATGTTAAATGCCCAGGGCTGTAAGTTATCTCAAGCAATTTCTAGGCTAGAACAGAAATTCCTGGACCACAGATAGTTCGAGGACTGATTAAAAAATCATCCTAATTCAGCAAGTGTTCTGGCTTTGGGTCTGAATTCCATCGCTTTCGTTTCCATCTATGGCAGTAGTGCAGGGCCGGGAATCCAGTCTCTCAGAGCCAGAACAGAGCTTGTGTATACACTAGGCCCGATTTTAATTCCAGATAAGGCAATCTTCCCCATCTTTACACCTTCTGTATGCATTATTCTGGAACTCCCTTCCTCCAACCAAGGGAAGTGCTAATTGTGAATGACGGGAGTCACTGGAAGATTTGGGAAGGCTAAGCTAATAGATATCCAGGGCCAGGCCTTGGAAAGCTGTCGCTACTCAGAGGCAAAATGTGACTTGCTATAGAACAATTTAAATTCTTTGTGTAGATTAAAAGAGCTCAAGCAACAGTGAATACTAATTCCATTCCTATGTAACCACCTTCATCAGCAATCGGTTCAAAAGCTCAAGGCTTTTTGTGCAGCTCCCTGTTTCTATATCAACTGCTGCTGGTGCTATTCAAATATAAATTTCACATTGTCATGTTATGGGTGGCTAAAAAGGGTGGGGGAGAAGAACCCACTTAGAATAAAATATAAATGGGGATTAAGACAACTGTCACGTTTACTTGGACACAGTGACTTTTTTTTTGGCTTGCACCATACCCCTTTCCCCCAGGCCCTGCCTGTATGCATGCCTCAACTCAAAGAGAGCTTTAGCATGAAAGTCTTTGTGCATAGTTAAAATTCAGCGGTGATCATTGCATAAATTGGCTGATCCAAACAGTTGTTGCCCCTGGGGAAATATTTAGTCCCGTGTCCTAGTCATGCTTGATTTCGGACGCCCCAGTCAGACAGGCAAAGGTCATTTGGAGGCCATTATTACTTAGAATATCTTTTGTTTTTTTCTCCTTCAACAGAAAAAAAATATACAAAAAGGGAAAGCAAGACAAAGTTGCTAGAGCAGCCCTGTTATTGTAGGCTTGTTCTAGGATGTCATTTCTGTACCAGCAGCTAGATTTCAGATCTAAATCTTCACTGCCTCTCTTATGGCTATGATACTCCAACCATCTCCTTTTCAATGATCCCTGAAGGTTCATTGCAAGAGATAAAAATTAATTTAGCTGCCTGACTTAATGACTTTATCAGGGTGTCAAGGAGAGATAGTTTGATCTAGTCTAGTGGTTAAGGTGCTAGACTAGGAGTGGGGAATTGTCATTGTCTTAAGCACAGAAGGCATCAGTCACTGTCTCTCAGCCTAGGAAGAAGGCTGTGGGAAATCATTTCCAAAAATGTTGCCCAGAAAAATTGCATTTGTCCATGTAGTTACCAGTAGTCAATATTAGTTTTAAAAAAAGTTATGTCAGAAAATTCAGCCCAACTGATCGCAGCCTATAATAGTTATTTTATAAGGAAACTCTTTGAGAGTTATGCCTAGCCATTCTCACCCAACAACTGATTGGGTTTAGTTGTTCACACATTTAATCTAATTAAATGTCTTGCAAACAGGATAACTGAAATCATATTAGATTGCAGCCAATAAGTTCATTCCTGGAAAGTCTAGTATGTATATGGCAACTTCTCATGTGTAGACCCACTAGGACTGGTCTTTTTTCAGGTTAACTATGAAGGAGCAGCCATATGGGCACCCTGCCCTCTTTAACCTTACCAAGAGAAAAATGAAGTCAAACATAGGAGAAACAGTGAAAAGTTACTTTCTGATCATTTAGCCTTATACTTAGGCATTTCCTTTCATTGGTGCCTCCTCTTTTCCCACAATTTCCCCATGTTTTGAAAGTGAATGCCTGCAACAGGGATTTCATTTCATTTTCATATTCCTCCCTCCCTTAATACAGTATAATGTATCTGGAGAGTAACATTTGGAGAAAGATTGATTAAACTCACAGTAGAACACTGTATCGTATCTAGGTAATGGGCTGCACCTGGCTAGGTGGATGACAGGGTGTTCAAACAGTGATGCAGCTTTAAAATCATGACAGGGATTTTTCTGGCACTCTGCGTTGACATAAACCCTTTCATCTATTGACTCGCTTGTTCTATTTTGTATTTTTTAAAAATCTTCATGGTCATCAGAAATATCTGCTGGGATAGGCTAGCATATTATGAATATATGCTGACAATCAGAGCTGCTAAAATGGAACTTTATTGAAACCTGCTGTATTTGATGTTTGTCTTCTGCATATCCATTTTATCTCTCCATCTTTATGTATATCCAGGGTGTTCAAAAACTCATTTAATCTCCCCCCCCCTCTCTTTTATCCTCCATTTTATTACTCTGTTTATCTGCCTCTCTCCTCTCTCCCATTATTCTCCTTACTCTGCTATTTCCATCCATCAACCCTCGGTTCTTTTCCATTAGTCCAAGCTCCTTTCTTTTTCTTTTTCTTTTTCTCCCTTCAACACCCACCCTCATAAAACGTTCTCCAGATTCCCACCCCCTCCACTCTGCCTTCCTATGATCCATTCTCTCTCCCTGAACAAAAGAAGCTGTCCCCTTTTCCTTCTATACTGAAAAGACATTCCAGGACAAATTCTCCGATCTGGGGTGTACTTTGACTTTATTTTAATTTAAGGATATCCTAAATTCTATTTCTCTTTGTAACCCTCTTTCTGTCCCCCCCCCTAGTTTAATAGTCATTGTGAAAAGAAGGATGCTTCACTAATTGCTTACCCACTTCACACAGCATGCTCCTCCAACAAGTTGGATTGAAGGATGATACAAACAAATAAACACAGGGCTTCACTGCTTTTTTCCCCCTTTCCTCCAGTCTATTTTGCAGTCTGCACTACAGTCCTTGGGGAAAGGACATTTTACTGGGAGGGGGAAGGAAACCAATTTACACTCATGTTTTTTTTTTTTTTTGGCTAATGCATGCTCTTTCTCTTGTTCTTTCTTCAGCCACAAGTCACATTAGGACTTGCATGCAGCTGTCTCCTTCTTGGTTATACTGCTATCCAGGTGAAGAAGGGAGGCCTGGCCTGTGTTGCCAGAGAAGATGGCCTCAACTCCAGCCTGTCTGCTGTTGCTGTGGCCACTGGTTCTGATTCTCTGTGATCCAGCAGAATCCATCAAGTTTCCCGAAGGCTGTGAGTAGCAAAGATTTTCTGCTGCATGTGTTTTAAAATGGGGAGGGTGGGAGCTCTCCCTGAATATAGCTTTCACAAGGGGGAGGGTCTGTGAGGCATTTTGGCTGTCTTTTGTTAGTTCTGGACCAATTTGTGGAGTGATGAAACAGCACAGAAATGTTCTGGAGATACATGATTTGGAGGTGTATGAGTGGTTCATTTTCATTGTTTTATTAGAGTCACAGAGAATTGTTTTTAAGGCACTTTTCTCTGTTTTCTTGATTGAACTAATATTCTGCTACTTCTGTGAGAGTGCAAGGTGACAGACACAGAAAAGAGTCTCACCAATTTTATTCCCAAACAACTCTGTGAGATAGGTTGGACTGAGAGATAAAAATGGAGGGAGGGAGGGGGAGAGAGAGAGAGAGAGAGAGAGAGAGAGAGAGAGAGAGAGAGGAGGGAGAGAGAGGGAGAGAGGGAGAGGGAGAGAGGGAGAGAGAGAGAGAGAGAGAGAGAGAGAGAGAGAGAGAGAGAGAGAGAGAGAGAGAGAGAACGTTGCTAAAATTGAATGTTCCCGCTTTGACAGATGCTCAAAGCTACCCAAGGACATCCACAGTTAAGAGGGAGACTCCTCCCCAACCACTATCTTTCCTATTATTTATGATATTAACTTTTCTAATGTCCCACATCTCCGTCTAAGCAGTATCATCAGAAATCTAGGAGAAGGACCCCCTTGGGTTAGCAACTCATACTGCCACCCTAACAGGACACACACTCCCCTCAAATAAGAGAGGTTATACAGGTAGTTCTCAAGTTACAACCATTCATTTAACAACCATTTTGAAGTTACAGAGGCACTAGTGTAAGAGTGACTTATGACCAGTTCTCACAGTTATCCACAGCATCCTCTTGGTCACATAATCAAACTTGGGTGATTCTGCCTGGTTTATGAAAAGAGAAGAAAGATAAATGGGGAAACAAGAATCACCAAGTCCAGTGCTGAAAAGTTTTTTTGCACCCACTTGCTGCATCTCAGCTTTATGATATTAGTTCTACATAGCATGCCATCATTAGGTGAACTTCTTACTAGTCGTGAACATTTGTCTACATTCTTTGATATTTGCTGTGTGCAAACAATTTCATTTTTCTGACATTTCACAACACTTAGATAGATTGGTCATAATACCATTTAAAAGGAGACAAACAGTTTTAATAGACAATCATCTACAGTGTTAATAGTGGAAGTTACCCTTTTATTTTCTGGATATATATACATATAAAGTCATCTCATTATTTATTTTGGCTAAGCATTGCTATGCAAGAACAAAATATGTACTAGCTAGATAGAGTTTACCCCAATACCATTTACTACATAATTTTCTGTCCTTGAAAACTCTTTGCTTATACCATACTCATTCACTGATTCATGCATTGTCTTTTGTTTTTTTTTAATTCTTACCCGTCTTTTTGATAATATTATTGCTTATATTTCTCTATCTCTATACATCTACAGTATAGCTTTCTATCTCGATCCATGTGCTCTTGTTAATATTTGTTTTGCAGTCGAAACTTATTCATTCTGTCTATGACTAAAAACCCTAAGTGTATTTGTTAGGTGCTGGAGACCTTGTTTTATATTCAGTCCACATTCATTCAGGACCACTTTTTCTGTAGGCTATATAATCAGGCAATCCATGTTATATGGAATATTTTTATATAATATGAATCATATTCTAGATTGAAATCCAGATACCTATTTACCAGATCAAATTGCAATAGTAGTTGCTGCACAACACTCCCGTGCTGTAGTTTATGCTTATTATAATTTGCCAAAAATAGGAGGAGTTACAAATCTTACCTTCTTGTCTTTTGCATACTGATTTCAGTGATAGTTTTGAATCTTCTTGCTTGTTCCTCGCAACAAGCTTCTTAACACAGACCAGTTTTCAGTACCAAGGACAGCACACAGAAACCAGGAAGCAGCTATTGTCTTTTAACACTAGGGAGAGCATTCAAGGTTAGCCTCTGTTGCTCCCATGAACATCATCCCTTCGTGAGGTTTTATCTTGTGGTGCTATAGTTAATAAGTATGAATTCTTCTGTCTTGTTCAATTAATGAAAGTGTATATTAAAGCAGAGGAGAACAATGGGAGGAAAAAGAAAAAGATTTATTTTTTTTAACGTCTAGATCTGTGAAACAAAATGGTCCTTCCTATTTGGCAACTTCTCTGTTAGGCATAATTTATACCCCTGGATGTGATAGCAGGAGATATGCTTGCATTAAAGTTGAATTTTTATTTAATGCAAAAGAGACGTGGGTAAAAGGAGGATTTTTATCTGTATTCAGTGTAAGTTGGAATCTAACCATCTGGAGGTTGTGAAAGTCTGAAAAGAAACATATGTGTGTCTAAATAAAATTTATGCTAAGAAGCTGGTGCATTATTTTGTAATAAGTCAGCTTCATGAAAATAATAATGGTTGTATCAAAGGAATCTTTAAAAAGCCAAGTGGGCCAGAGAGTTTGATAGGAGCCAAATGGCAGGTCCACAAGCCCTGTGTTGCATACTCTTGATTTAAACCAATCTCCTACAATGATTTCATGGAATAAATATGATGTTTTTGGACAGGATATTAAGGACCAAGGTGAAGCCGGTCTGATGGATTTTTAGTGTCAGGGAACTCTGTGCTAAGGGTTGTTGTTGTTAATTGCGAAGTTGTGTCGACCCATCGTGACCCCATGGATAACGTTCCTCCAGGCCTTCCTGTCCTCTACCATCTTCTGGAGTCCATTTAAGTTCACACCTACTGCTTCAGTGACTCCATCCAGCCACCTCATTCTCTGTCATCCCCTTCTTCTATTGCCCTCGATCTTTCCCAGTATTAGGCTCTTCTCCAGTGAGTCCTTCCTTCTCATTAGGTGGCCAAAGTATTTGAGTTTCAACTTCAGGATCTGGCCTTCTAAAGAGCAGTCAGGGTTGATCTCCTCTAGGACTGACCGGTTTGATCCCCTTGCAGTCCAGGGAACTCGCAGGAGTTTTCTCCAGCACCATAGTTCAAAGGCCTCAATTCTTTTACGCTTAGCCTTTCTTATGGTCCAACTTTCACAGCCATACATTGCAACTGGGAAAACCATGGCCTTGACTATACGTACTTTTGTTGGCAGGGTGATGTCTCTGCTTTTTAGTATGCTGTGTATGTGCTAAGGGTATGAATACTGAAAAGTCTTTTCCTGACGGTGTTAGCCTGATTTTTTTTAATCTAATTACTTGGCATAAGGTTTTAGAAGTAGACTTGAGCATATGAGAACATTTATATGTAGATGTTAGGCTTTATGCATTTTGGTGACAAAATTTTGGTGACATCCATCTGTGCTATGTAAATGTTTTGTGACAAGCCCTAATGGCTGCATTTTTTGAGATACTAATTGTTACTGACATTGTCCAAGAATCAAGTTGAGAGGGGGCACTGTTTAATCCAACATTATTAATGGAAACCACAATACATTAGTATGATGGGTAAATTATGATTAAAAAATAAAAATAAACAGATCCTAAAATAAGAAATAAATATTCTGGTCCATTCTTGATTTTCAATTGCTGTTGTATCTCAGTAAATAATAAATTGCAAGACTGGGAGACTGAGACATATTTTAATTCACCCATGATAGCTATAGCCTCCTCCCTCAAAAAACACTCCACCAGAACTTCCTCATCCTATTTTCCCCAGAACAACAGTCCTGTGAGCTGGTTTGGGCTGAGAGAAAGTGACTGGCCCCAAGTCACCCAGCCAGCTTTCATGGCTAAGGTGAGATGTGAACTCACAGTCTGTCGCTTTCTAGCCTGGTGCCTTAATAACTAGACCAAACTGGGTCTCTTTTTGCATGAAAGCAAAGGCTGGATACGGCTATATATATAAGCAGACCCATAAAATACAGTCCCTATTTTATAACTTTGATTGTTTAGTCATACATTGTACACATTTCTAAGATTTACAAGCTAGTGGCTAGATTCACACAATGAACTACATTCACATAATGTAACAAATTGTATTATAGTTTGATTGTGATGAAAGAACTCAGACATTGATTTGTGCTGTTACAGATATATAAGTATCTTCCATAAATCCTAGCCATTGCAGCCACCCAGAAGGCACCAGTTTTGGAGGAAACTGTACTGTACTGATACTTCAGATCCTAAAATCTTCAAGTGCTGGATTTAGAACAAAACAAAGCATTGCAAAATATGGTGCTATTGAACAAAAGAGAAATTTGCCAAGTTGAGATTAATTTCCATAATATTTAAATACAATTTCAGGAATATGTGTAATCCTGTTGTTATATCAGTTGTTTTAAACAATCTAATGACCAACTGGGAAGGGAAAGAGACAGCACTCTTTCTCTTTAGCTCATAAACTGAATTGCTTGTGGGTCTGTTAGTATTGCTACAGGTTATAGACACACACATAGTTTAGAATAGGCAGACTCTAATTCAGTTCATATACAACATAATCCTATTTATTAGAAGTATTGTATGTCCCACTATAAATTATAGTGTATTAACTTTATTTTTTTTACATTTCATAAATTGTATGCAAATTATTTTTTCCCCCAAAGTGAATAAATTTCTAATTTAAGCTATTGATTCTTATCAATAGTTATTGATTTGATTTCTATTAATACACTGTAATTTTGAGGTCCATTCACCAAACTTTTTAGAAATCAAATCAAAATCACTTCTATTTCTAAATAATGATTGATTCCAACAGCCCTCTGGAATCATGTTATGGTTTGCAAATCTTAGTTTACAGCAGTGATACAGTGGATACAAACTCTTTTTCTGATAAGCTCATAAAATTTCACCTTTCTGTTTAGGTTCTTTATTATTATTACTATCCCATTCCACCACCACCCCGCCCTTACTCTGTGTTTGTGTGTCTTGCTTCTTCTCTCCCATTCTGTCTGGATGAGTAGGCAAGGAGATCCCTGGAGACCCTTTCCCTCCGCTAATTGGATCGGAGCTTCTTTCCACCTGTCGCTGACTCAACCAAACACAACACTTCCTATAAGAATCAATTCAGCTTGTTAAATTAAGGGGGTTGAGGAGGCTAGCTGAATGTTTGGCCTCCTCCATGACATGTTTGATCGGTAAGGAAGTGAAAACACACTGGCATAGGAAATGTCTTTCTACACATAGCCTATCCACAATAAGGCCCTCAGGTTATAAACCGTTCCCTGCAAGGGCATTGTGATCTGCAGACATTCATAAGCAATAGTGTTTATTTCCCTGCTGTGAAAACTTCACCTGCTGTTTTCTACATTGTCACTGATGCTAAGGATACCATTTCAGCACTTTTTCCTCCCCAGTCCAATGGCAGTCCTGCACAGCACACAACCAGCTAGCCATGTACAACTCTGATGGTTCTGTTCATTGTCCCTAGAAATGTCAGGCAACTTTTCTTATAGGGAATTGAATGAAAATGTAGCACTTAATGTAAAGTGCATTGTCTCGTTGTGCTGATTAACCAGTGAAATAAAGAAGAGAATAGATTGTGGTTTTATAATAAAGCACACATGCTTTGCATACAAAATATCCTGCATTTAGATCTTGGCATCATCTAGATGTGTCCTAATATCCGGAAGAGTTACTGATAGCCAATGTAGATAATATTGAGTTGGATTAATCCACTGACTTAATTAAAAGCATTTTAGAATAATTGTCCCATTAGTCATTTTGGTGTGTGTGTGTGTGTGTGTGTGTGTGTGTGTGTGTGTGAGAGAGAGAGAGAGAGAGAGAGAGAGAGAGAGAGAGAGAGGTGCAAAATGTTTCAAATATAAAATATTTTGAACCTGAAGTGGGCTAATCTAACACTGCTTAGACACTGTTCCAATCTCACCAGGAGCTATGCCAGTTTGAAACAAGCATCCCAAATATAAAATGTGTTGCTCTAAACTTAAGACACCTGTGGTAGTACTTCCTGTGGGATAGAACAACCTGTTTTGAACATATCTTACATATAAATATAGATTTGTGGAGCTGAATGCGGTTATAAAGGAGAGTCACCTGCATGTCTTCTCTAAATGTCCATATGCATGCACCCATTCCACCTACAATTATGTCCATATACTATACCTGTACTATTATTGTATTTTCAGTTTGCATTTTTTGTTCTGTGCTACAATATAATGCTGCAAAGTTTCAAAATAGTATATGTTTCAAAACAGCTCCTTCTATGCTCCCACCTGTTTGACTGTATTCTCTAGAATACAACTGACAATTCAGAGAGCAAAGGAAGCTCTGAATAGAACTGTCTACTAAAGAAAAAGGTGTCTCCTATCATTTCAAAACAAATCCCCATTCCATTTGTTTGAGTCTTCAGGTAACCTTTGATGGGAACACAAGTTTGCTTAGCTCAATAACTTTTCTTTTAGAAGTACTGAATAGCACATTAAGAGGTATGACTTTGCCAAGCAACGAGAAATCTGAGGTAATCTCCACAGGTCACCTTTTGTCAATTTGATCTCCTCTTCCAGATGTGTCAGGCTTCAATATCTGACTCATCATAACCAAATTAGTTTTATTGAAATTCAAATGTCTGGAGAGTATCAGGTTGGAAAATCTGATGTGAGGGACAGTTTTGCTTAGAATTCAGGCTATGATATTTTCCTGTTTGTTTTTTTTTTAAAAAAACTGGCAAATCTGAATTAAAAGAAGAGCGGAGATGGGCAGTAAAAGTCTAGTTTTTCCCATCCCAAATTTGCTGCTTTCAAGATCTCTTACTAAGGAAAAAATGAAAAGGAAAGATGGGTTTGTCAAAAACAGATCATGCCAGACAAATCGTATTGCATTCTTTGACCAAGTGACAAAATTAGTGGACCAGAGGAATGCTGTGGATATAATTTACTTGGACTTCAGTAAGGCATTTGATAAAGTAGATCACAACCTACTACTTGACAAGATAGAAAAATGTGGGTTAGACAGCATCACCACCAGATGAATTCGTAGCTGGCTGACTGGCTGTACTCAGCGTGTGGTCCTCAATGGAAATGCATCTACAAGGAGGGAAGTGTGTAGTGGGGTGCCCCAGGGCTCTGTTCTGGGCCCAGTGCTCTTCAACATCTTCATCAGCGATTTGGATGAGGGGATAGATGGGGAACTCATCAAATTTGCAGATGACACCAAGCTGGCAGGAATAGCCAACACTCCAGAAGACAGGCTTAAGATACAGGAGGACCTGGACAGACTTGAACACTGGGCGCTATCTAACAAAATGAAATTCAATGGTGAAAAAAGTAAGGTTCTACATTTAGGCAAGAAAAACCAAAGGAACAGGTATAGTATAGGGGGTACCTCACAGTAGTAACTGTGAGAGGGATCACACTGAGCCAGCAGTGTGCTGCAGCTGCCAAAAAGCCAACTCAGTGCTAGGCTGCATTAACAGAGGGATAGAATCAAGATCACATGAAGTATTAATACCACTTTACAATGCCTTGGTAAGGCCACACGTGGAATACTGCATCCAGTTTTGGTCACCACAATGTAAAAAAGATGCTGAGACTCTAGAAAAAATACAGAGAAGAGCAACAAAGATGATTAGGGGACTGGAGGCTAAAACATATAAGAAACGATTGCTGGAATTGGGTATGTCTAGTTTATGAAGAGAAGGATGAGGGGTGACATGATAACAGCCTTCCAATATCTCAGGGGTTGCCCCAAAGAAGAGGGAGTCAAGCTATTCTCCAAAGCACCTGAAGGCAGGACAAGAAGCAATGGATGGAAACTAATCAAGGAGAGAAGCAACCTAGAACTAAGGAGAAACTTCCTGACAGTTAGAACAATTAACCAATGGCACAACCTGCCTCCAGAAGCGGTGAATGCTCCAACATTGGAAGTTTTTAAGAAGAGACTAAACAGCCATTTGTCCGAAATGGTGTAGGGTTTCCTGCCTGAGCAGGGGTTGGACTCGATGACCTCCAAGGTCCCTTCCAACTTTATTATTATTATTACAAATATTACAAAACCAACAAAATTAACCCTCTCCTCAACAACAACAACAGCAAACAGATGCATTCGTTTCATCCTGGGATTTGGGCTTTAGAACCAGCACAATCAACCATTAGTCAATCATCTCTTGCTTGCCATCAAGCATCTAAGTCATACAAAAGATAGAGAAAGTAATTTTTCTACTTTCAATGAATATTCCAGACTCTGTACTTTATCAGATGAGTTTCCTTCAACTGTCCTGCTTTCAAATGCAGATTGTTACTCACTCTGTTCTTCTGTAGAATTAGTATTTGCACACTGCCTTGCTTTAAATTCTCTAATGGTGCAGAGAAACACAACTGTCTCATTCACTGAGTTTGACATGCTGACATCCAGCTGGCTTTCCTACTCACTCTCACTTGCACCTGATCATCTCACATATGGGTTCTGTCTTGCACCCTTGAGCTTCCTATTTAAAATGTGCTCATTTGGCTGTGATTTTGCATTTTTCATCCTTTCCGTCTTGCTCTCACAAACTGCATGTTTATGTTTTTCTTGAGGCACAGGAATGGTGGAATGATCACTAACAAGCACTTCTCTTTTTTCTTTTGCTGTTTTCTTGCTGACGCAGTTGACCGGACAAACTGTGAGTCTTCCATGAAATGGGTGATGGTGATGATAATGGTGATTGGGATGGGATGGGAGAGAAGAAGCCAAACAGTGATTGCTTTGCTGATCTGAATAGCTACGCTTTTATTCTCTGTCTGCAGTGTGAGGCTATCACATTATTCTTGGGTAGGGTGAGGTCTTCTAAGTATGAGACCAGTGGTCCCTTGTGTGTTAGAATTTTGTATTGCTCATTTTTCTTCCCACTTTTCTGTTTCTTAGTGCAACAACCACCTGAATTCACAACACAACCAGACAAGGAGATTGTTTTATATCCCACTGATGAGATTATCCTGAAATGGGAGGCTATTGGAAATCCCCCAGTGACGTGAGTATTGACAAGCTTCAATATTGTTTCCCTTATCCCAGTTCCATTCCAAATGGAAAACTTTTAGTGGGAATTTTCTTCTTAGGATCCTAGGATAGTTCTGTCTATATCATATGTTTCCTTGCTTTTATTTGTTGAAAAATAGACATTTTTTGTGTTGTGGAAAGGCAAGGAAGAATTGGTCTGAGGAAATAGATTTATCTATTTTTTTCTTAAGCAGTTTCATTCCTTTTTTATTTTTCTGGTTAAAATTGCTCTTTTTTCCAAGGCAGGTATTTGAGTGTAATATCAACTACTTTATTTGGGGGGGGGAGTTGGGTTGGGGCTACAGTTTGAATGTAACAGTTAACTACCATTCCCTAGTGCTATGGACATAATTTAATTTAGCATCCCCTTCCCTCCTCTCCCCCCCCCCTCCAATCATAAAGAAAATCAGAAGATCTAATCATTTATCTTCCAAGTCAATGTAGTTTGGCCTGGAGACACTTTTTTTTAATTAATGGAGGCCCTCTGCATGCTGATACTGGGAAATGTTATTATTAGAGAGACACCCCCAATTTGGTGTTTGAGGAAAGGTGGAAGAAAAGAGAAGAGGATGACCGGCAGTAAGATGGATGACCTCAGCTACAGTGGCAATGATTGCACTGTTGGAGGACCTGAAGGATCAAGTTAGGGACAGATTGTCTGGGGGGAAAAAATCTATGTGGTCACTAAGCATGGTTGATTGATGATACACAATCGATTGATCGATCAATCAATCAATCAATCAATCAATTAATTGAGGTAGTTGGCCTGAGAGAGAGTGACTGACCTAAAATCCTCCAGTGACTTTCTGTGACTGAGATGGACTAGGTAATCGCAGATTCTTTATAATTTTCTCAATGTGTGAGAGTATGTGGATGTATAGTGTCAACCTCACTCATCCAATTTCTATATTGAGCTAAGAATACAGACTTCCTTGGAAAGGCATTATAGAGATAATATACATAGAAAGAATATTGAGAACAAAAACTGGTATCTAATTAGCTGGTGCACTTTTTTCCACCTTCAACTCAATCTTGACTCTTTGCAACTGCTTGGAATAGACCCAGCAGTTTTCTTGGCAAGGTCTTCTTCAGGAGTGGTTTGTCCTTTTCAAGGGCTGAGAGAGAGTGTCTGGCCCAAGGTCACCTAGCTGGTTTTGTGCCTAAAGCAGGACTAGAACTCATGGTCTCATGGTTTCTAGCCTGGTGCCTTAACCACTGTTTTTTCAAAGATAACAATGGCAATAGAGTAATAATATACATCCTGAGACATAATATTTCTGCCAGGAACAAATCTGTATGAATTCCATTTTTTCCAGCTATAACCTTCCTCTGTTTCAAGCCTAAGTTCCAATTTTGAGTCAGAACAAAGCAAACTAAAAATAGTCCTTATCTCCATAATGTACAGTATATCTACCAATAAAGGAGAATATTTGTAGCTCAGGGTTGAAATGAGGAGTCCTTGGTGCTCTCTGAGCTTGCTTGTTTTCTTGCAGACATTTTATTACCCTAACTAGGACCAGCACTGATGATGTTGCCTAGTTAGGGTAATGAAACGTCTGCAAGAAAACAAGCAAGCTTAGAGAGCACCAAGGAAACCTCATATAGTATATCTATTTGCAGAAGTCCTTGAATTTTCATCGCAGTTCAGAGCTTTGAATTTGACTTTTCTAAGATAGTAACTGAACAGCCCTGAGACTGACTGATTTTAGGAAGGGATTTCCACTATCGATATTGGACATTTCTCAGTGCACAATGCTTCTAAATTCTGCTGTTCTTAACATCTCCGTTATTCCCTTCTATGCTGGAAATGTCCCTGACCTTACTTGGACCTCTGCTCCTCGTGTAATTGATTTCTCTCTCTCCTTACCCCAGTTCTTGTGTGTATCAGAGGAATCATTGTTTGCCTGCTTTTAAATCCCCCCACCATACATTTCCACCGCCACCTCTCCAGTCGCACCCATCTTAATTAGTGCAGACTGAGAACCAAGGTTATTTATAGAAATAGACCAACCTGCCAGTCAGAGGTTATTAAAAAATAGCACAGGAACTCGGTAGGAAGATTGCATCCCCTTTTCCTTTCTCATGTGTTTTCCTTTTGGCAGGTACCGCTGGACCAAGGATGGGGAACAGTTTGATCCAGAACAGGTGCAAGGGATAAAACAGTTGGAAAATTCAGGGACTCTGATCATCCATGCAAACAATGGGAATGTGCCAACTAGGTTCAATGGGCTATATCGGTGTTATGCCAGCAACATATTGGGCACAGCCGTGAGTTCTGAGAGCCGCATCATTGTTGAGAGTGAGTCCCTCTCTGCCTCCCCCAAGGTGTCCTTCCTGCTTCTCCCTCCCTCTTTTATAAGTGTGCCCACCAATTCTCTGCCTTCCTCCAGCTCTGTATCACTTGCACACAGCCATATGCACACACACTCACACACAAACATTTCTCATTCTGGCTTTGCTGATGAAGCTTATTTTAGGACCCACAATGATGCAGCTTAAGGTGTCTACACACATATATACACCCTTTCCAATTTTTTTGAGAAATAAATGTCTCCCTCCCTCTTACAATAAATGTCTATGCCTGGGTCTTTTCCCCTTTTACCTGCCTGGACTCCCCGGAGTGTAGCCGGTTGCTCTTGTTCCCATGGATACAGTTGTCATGGTATCATCGTGTCATGTGATGTAATTGCCAGCCCCTCCTTCTCCTGCCTTCTTTCTCTCCTGCTCGGCCTTGCTTTCTGCATGTCTGTCAAGGAAGAAGGAAAGATTTAAAAGCTGGAGGGATACAGGAAAGTAGACATCCACTGATATCAGAAAGGATGTATTTTTCAGCACTAGTAGTGATGATTTAAGAACATCCTCTCTCTGCTCCAAAATTGCAGTGATCTTGGCTGAAGTTCTCAAAATAAATCTGCCTGCTATTAATAATAATAGCTGTTGCTATTGAGGATGTTGTATTAATAAAAATATCAGAAATCAAGCATGAGTCAAGAAGTCCTTGGTTCAAGTTGCATCTCAACAAGCATGTATAAATGACTACTAGTTCTCTGAGACAGCAGGTGAATTGGTAAACTGCTTCGGCTTTAATTGGCTGGGTATGGCAAAGCCTCTCCACTCACTGAGTAATGATCAAAAACCTGTTAAAATACATTTTTCCCTGAGGCACAGTGAATAACTGGATACATTAAAAACCTAGCCCAGAGACTATGCAGCCAATTTCTCTCCATGTACAGTAGTCTTTTTTCCCCCTCCGTGATAATTCCCCTTCACCCCCCTCCTATTCACTAATTGCTTCGATTCCTGCTTCATTGCCTTCCAGATGCCCCACAGTGGCCAAAGGAGGAGGTGGCACCCATCACAGCAGAAGAAGGGACCCACACAGTCTTACCCTGTAACCCACCCACCAGTGCCGATCCACCTAAAATCTACTGGCTCAACAGCAGTGAGTATTAGAAACTGTCTTTTCCAAAGACTGTGAATTTGATTGTGACAGATCACAACACATGGAATGATTACTTTTCTCAAAGAACTAGAAGAGCTGACAGTAAGCCAAGTGCTTTGGATGGACGGCAAGAGGTTCCCAGCAGAAGTGAAGGAATCTGGATGTGGCGGATGGATGGGGATAGTAAATGGGGCAGGGTAGGTGAAGATGGGAGAGTTGCAAATACATGATCTCAGGTAATTCTTTGATCATGTCATTCAAGAAAGATGTTGAACTCTTATAGACAATCTGATTAAAGATACAGACTCAGATAAAAGCACTATGTATGGTGTTTTGCTTTGAACTGGCTGCTGGATCATTTCAGAATATATTACATGCCAACCTGAGTCCCAGAACATATGAGAAAGTAAGAAAGAGGAAAGGCTTTCTGTAAACTTTTAGGAGACGTGTTCTTGTTGGGAAGAGAAGGTTTGACTGGAAAGAATATGGGTCCAATCCTCCACTCTCAGGGACTAATGTACACTCTGGTTACTCCCAAGTTTTTGGAACCTGTTTTGGAAGTCAAAATTCATTTTTGAAACACAGGAAAGAATGAAGTTCCTCTGCTATGACCACCTCCTCCAAAATCTCCACATGAAGATGATAATTATGACTTAGAAGTAATAGAATAACTTTGCTTTCTTTCATGTCATGAATGCTTGGGCCAAGAAGCAAAGTGGTTTGGCATTTGGCTGTCTTATGATAATTCTTTCTGCTTTGCTATGACTCATTTGCTTCTTCTCCTTCCCACCTCTCTTTCTGCAGAGATTGAGCACATTGCCCAAGATGAACGAGTCACTGTAGGCCAGGATGGAAACCTCTACTTTGCCAATGTACAGATGAAGGACAGTCAACCTGACTATATCTGCAATGCCCATTTCCAAGGTCCACGACTCATTATCCAGAAAGAACCCATTGAGCTAAAAGTCATCCCAAGTAAGTCTTCAGGACACCCTATGTTGAGGTGCTCTGTGTTGTGGAGTGAGGAATTAGCTAGCTATTGCAGGAAGATATTGACCACATTTTTTTTATCCCGATCTTCTGCCCACCCAGCTTAATTGATGGTCTTAACATAGGAACTGTGAAGTCCTTGTGGAAATCTGCAAAATTATGAGATGAATTTTTGCCTGAAATCTTTATTAGGCTTTATCCATGGATTTTGCTATAGGTTGTCAGGTATTTGGTTCAGATTTAGTATTTCAGTTTTTCCCAACCTGTTGCCCTCCAGATGTGTTGGATTTCCATGGGAGTTAAGGTCTAAGCATGGACAACAAATTGAGCAATGCTACAGCATTTGGTTCCCAATACTGTTCTTTGATATTTCGCACTTGGTATGTTATGGCCAGTATTGCACAGTGTTGCTGTCCACTGAATCATAAAACTAGAAGCACTCACCTAGGCTGTTGGTTCACTGATCAATGCTGGCACTCAAATGAAAATATCCCCATTTAATAGTTGCCCAACTTCTGATTGAACACATCCACAAAGGAGAATTCTTCTGACAATTAATTTCATTATCAAATAGCTCTTACCATTAGGAATTTTCATGTAACATTGAACCCAAATCTGACTTCCTGTAATTGAAAGAATGTTATTCTGTCTTTTAATTCTATTCTGTATTCTGTGTCCTGCATTATCTTCCTCAAGGACACATTAGTCAAAATGCATCTGATCAATGCAGAATAAGGTAGAATCTTTCTTTCTTTTTTTTAACTTGGGGAAACTGCCTGTAATATTTGGCAGCAAAAATCTGTTGCTTCCCACCTAGGGGGCTTAGAGACAAGTGAATCAAAGCAGTGGAGACAGGGTTTGTGATATAACCAGGGATGAAATTATGAAAATTGAGAGGTAGATTCATGGAAAGTTTAAAACTCTGAGAAGAGCTTTGTAGCAGTGAATTATGGAAGCATATTATTTATCATCATCACATAATGCTTGGAAACTAAATGATTTACCAGAAATAACAAGAAACTACAGCAAAGATGAAGACTTAGAGAAGTGATGTGTAGAACCCTTTTGTATGTTCCTAGCAATGACAGAGACAATAAGGTGCGGTGGTTAGACTGATGAATAAAACTCGGGGCACTAAGTTGAAGTCTTCATGATCACAGATCTCATTGGGGAAACTCAGCTGGTCTTTTATCTCTCTGTCTAGTATGCCTCATCAAGCTGTTGTGAAAGTTAAAGAAGAGGAAGAGAAATATCCAAGCAAATTGCTAAAGCCACCTAGAGTTGATTTTCAGAGTGAGATGGGCAGCATATGAAAGAGAAAGAAAGAAAGAAAGAAAGAAAGAAAGAAAGAAAGGAAGGAAGGAAGGAAGGAAGGAAGGAAGGAAGGAAGGAAGGAAGGAAGGAAGGAAGGAAGGAGGAAGGAAGGCTAAGCCATAACCTCATTTAGAAAGTTTGAAATTGAGGAAGGCTTTATGAAGAAGTGTGTGTCAAACTGCCTGTAAGTTAGTGGAGCCAATGACATACTCTTTACTTTCAGAACATGAATATAAAGTCAGTCAAAAGCCAAACATTCTGCAATTGTGTTGGCCTAGGCCATCTGCACATGTGGTCTTCTGATATCAAGTAACTCTTTTCTTCTCTCTCTTCCCACAGCCAACACTTTCTCATACCAGAAACCAATTCTAATTGTGCCAGAGAGCACACACAAGAGCTACGTGGCCTTGTTAGGAAAGCCCTTGATACTAGAATGCATTGCAGCAGGGCTGTAAGTATTTGGAAATATCTGCCATCAAAAATAAAACATATATGGCAATGCAATCCTGTATCTTTCTAATGCCATGAGTCCAGAGAAGCTTCCTTCCACAGGGACTTTGCATGAACAAATGGATGAAAATAAACATTAGTCAAAGGATTGCTAGTGCAGATTTGAAAGATGCTTCACTAAACCCATAAACTGATGAAATATAGGTAGTCCGTGACTTACAACCACAACTGAGCCCAACATTTCTGTTGCTGAGCAAGACAGTTCTTAAGTGAATTTGGCCCCATTCTATGACCTTTCTTGCCACAGTTGTTAAGTGAATCACTGCAGTTGTTAAGTTAGTAACATGGTTGTTAAGTGAATCTGGCTTCCCCACTGACTGAATAGGGAATGGGAATGAGAATGGGAGAGCTGGGTATATCTTTTGGGTTATGATAACAAAAATGGCCAATGAGATAAGAGTACACCTTGATTTCAGTAGTTGTTTTTAATGCTATCCCTAATGCTATCCCCATTCTCTTGTGAACAGGCTGATAGATTGGAGAGGCCTCTATCTGCCTGTGTGTTTGAAAGGGAATGGATATGTTTTAAGGCAGGGGTCCCCAACTTCCGGTCCATGGACCAGTATCGGGCCGCGGGATGCCAGCAATCGGTCCGCACAAACAAGGAAAGCCCCATCTGCAGGATACAGGCAGCACACAAAACCACGCCCCCTCCGGTCTGTGGAAAAATCTCTCTCCACATAACCGATTCCTTGTGCCCTTAAGGTTGGGGACCTCTGTTTTAAGGGGTTGTGACTTCCGACTTCCAATTGTTGGGGAAAATACAGCTTGGGGTTTCATTTTTGCTCCTTGCTGGTTTGGAGAGGCAATGGAATTCTCTAAAGTCATTTTTTTTTCTCTTTTGGACTGCATAGAAATTACCCCATCCTTTGAGTGGCCTTGGAAGTATTTATTGAAAACATTTCTATAGCCGCCCGTCTTATAACCAGCTCTGGGTGGCTCCCCATCAAGTAGCAGAGATTTAAAAACCAAAATACATCAGCAGTAATTAGAAAAACATTTTGTTCATTTGCTACTCCAGGGACACTCAGCTCCTCCTGCCATTCAGCTGCTGGTTTGGTGATGAGAAGGAAAACATCAGCAGAGAAGTGGAATGATGCCCTTTGATTACATGCTTTAGTAGTGGTTTAATTAACTATGCTATTAGGTAGCAACAAACAAACAATGAAGAGCGGACTGAGGAGACAAAACAGCCTGGTGTCTTGCTGAGGCAATTGGCAAGCCAATCCCTGCTCTGCTATGAAGCTCATGTTTTCTCTAGGCCAAACTATTTCACAGGTTTCTTATGAACATAAAATGAATATGGTAGGAGCTGAGTGTCTGGTGGGCTGATCATCTGAAAATCATCTACTTCTTCATCCAGCCGTGGTGGCACTGTGGTTAGAATGCAGTACTACTTCTGCTGCCTGCCGGCTGCCTGTAGTTCAGCAGTTCGATTCTCACCGGCTCAAGGTTGACTCAGCCTGAGATTGGTAAAATGAGGACCCAGATTGTTGGGGGCAATATGCTGACTCTGTAAAACTGCTTAGAGAGGGCTGTAAAGCACTGTGAAGCGGTATATACGTTTAAGTGCTATTGCTATAATCCCAAATGCATTTAAATCAATGAGATAATTAATCATGTCCTGAGTCAGCTCTCACTAATCTAGCACTTTCCAGATGTGTTGGACCACAACTCTTGTCATCCCCAGACAATGTACATATAGGGATCTAGATGATGGACTTTAGAATCCAAGAAATTCAAAAAGTGCTAAGTTGGGGGAAAAAGGACTTAACTGATTTGAGTGGTATCACTAGTACTACTCTCTTGATCCAGATGCATCTGGTGAGTTCTAAGGAAAAATTAATTTCAAAGGTAATAAAGGCAACTCTTTTACAAATAAATACATATATAAATACATTCTTTTTTAAAAAAGAAAATAGTTTCCATAAACCCTCACAAAATGCAAGTATCCCCTTTTGCTCTATGCACAGGAGAAAATGCCTCTTCTAAGATGATGAATTCTCCCATCTGCAATTTGTATATGTTCTGTTTTAAAAATAGTCTCAAGTAAAGTCCTTTTTTAACTGAACAACATAATTTTAAGCAGTGACTTAGATCAGTAACAGTCAACTGAGTTAGAAGCCAGCTTTATACACGCTCTTTTTCTTCTTCCCTTTCTCTGCAGCCCTACACCGTCGGTGGAATGGATCCACCTGAACAGACTGAACCCTTCACCTGGGGTGACCTTTGAGAACTACAATAAAACTCTTTGCATCCCAAGTGTGACGGAGGATGATGATGGAGACTATCAGTGTATTGCTCGTAATGAGCATGGCAGCATCCGCCACACCTATACCGTTAATGTTGAGGGTATTTCCACAATTTTACTCCAGCAGGGCCCGATAGGATAAAAATGGGAAAGATTTTGAGTAGTCAAACTGACACCTAGCAAGACTGCTCTTTTGAGAAAAGATTATGGTGAGATTAGTAGATGTTACAAACATAATGTCACTCCAAATTGCTTATTCCTAGAGCCTGCCATTTGATGTGACATTATTAGGTTGTGTTTCTCTCACTAAATGACATTCAGTTGTGTGCAGAAGATCAAGTGGAATGGAGGCACAGTGTAATTATGTCATATACTGTGATTTAGGATGTTAGCAGGAAGAGTAGAAAAAACAGAGGCAACAGTCATTTTTTAATGCTTTGGGAGAGAGGGGAAAGGAGTTGCATTAATAGCAAAATATTAAATAAGGCAGCTTACTTGAAAGATGGAAGTTTCTAAAATTTCTTAATATAATTTTGTATACCTAAAAGCCATCTTTTTTAGCCAATTATACTAGCCATCCATGTATGACTGTATTAAATGAGGCCATATCATTTTTCCAATTATATATATATATATACAGGGCTTTTTTTCTCATAGAACGCCCAGAACGGAGTTCCGGCACCTTTTTTGAATGGAACCTTGTAGGGTAGGCAAGGCGGGTTGTATGACGTGTGTGAGTTCCGGCACCTTTATTTTATTTTATTTTTTCAAAAAAAGCACTGTATATATATATTAATTTTAGTGGCAAAGCAACAAGATAAGAGCTGGGTAATCCAATCCACAGATCTTAGCAGCTCAGTGCTCTATATATGTGGTGGTGTAAAACAAAATATAACTAAAATATTGACTGTGAATAAAAACCTAAAGTTTAAGCTTAACCAGTCATGCTAGCTATAACCCAGCCCAAACTTAGCACTCCATTGCATTCATTGGAGAAAATTTAAGCAAATGCTTTGTATTTTAATTTTCCAAACTTTAGCTGGGTTGTTCTCCCTTTTAAATAAAAACAACATTATTATTCAACTATTATCCTGATATTCCACGCTTTTAGAGCTTAAACTTAAGACCAGTGATTGCCAGCAAGGAACACTTTTTTTCTGCATTCCAAGGAGTACACACACCACAGCTTAGCAAATCTTTACACAGTGTTTTATTGCAGCACACAATTTCCCCAACAGCAGCCTATAGCTCTGGGTCAACTCCACCTTTCTAGAATTTGCAAAGTGATGTTGCCATGCAAACGTGTATAATACACAACCCTTTATATTCAGTCATTTCATACTCAGTCCAAAAGCTAAAATGACAATTATTTGAATTAGATGAAATTTCCTAGTTGAAGAAGAAGGCAGGTTCTTCCCTGCCTTGAAGAATTTATAAAAGAAGGGGGATGCCCCTTTTGCCCTCTAGGTGTTTTGTATGATGACACCCTCCCCCACTCTCACATTATTGGTTGGCATGGTGATTCAAAACAAATAAAGCATCTACTTGCCTATATACCTGATTGAAATCTGAGAGGTAATAGAAAGGGAGTCTGAGGACAACTCATTATAAAGTGAGCACTGTGTTAGTCTATATAAAAATAGACCTGGGAAGCTCATTTTCCTCACTGTAGTGAACTAATTTTGTCTTAATGGATGCTATTTTCATCTGATCTTCTTTTCTCAGCTGCTCCATACTGGATAAAAATGCCCGTGAGTCAGATTTATGGACCAGGGGAGAATGTCCGCTTGGATTGCGAAGTTGATGGAAAACCTAAGCCAAGAGTGTCATGGAGCATAAATGGGACTCCTCTGAAAGGTGAGTGAATGGGCGAGAAGAAAGGCAGAGAAAAAGCAGAAGGCTACCTTAGCTCCCTGGACCTAAACACTTGGCTGCTTTTCAGATGTGATGCCAGATCCAAGAAGAAAGATTCAATCAGGAGCTTTAATCTTCAGTGAAGTGCAACCCAATGACACCGCTGTTATCCAGTGCCAAGCCCACAATAAGCACGGCAGTCTCCTGGCCAATGCATACATCCTTGTTGTCTGTAAGTTCATCTCTCCGCTTTGAATCAAAATGGGGCTCTCACTGTTCAAAGGACAGGAAGATATTACTATAAAAAAACCTAGCAAAGGCTATTCCAATTGTTCTATCATATCACCAACCTTTCAGTTTTCACTTTAAAATTCCTCCAGTAGCTCTTTCTCCTACAGCAAGATAGGAATATGGATGAAGTCTGCAGTTCAGACACCTTTCCAGGGAATGGCATTCCCTGGCAGTATTTATAAATTATGTACAGAGTCTGCTTCTCTTTTTTGCTCAGGCCTGATGACAAAGGCCTTACAATGACAAAGGCCCCTTTTGCCTCCAAATTAATGCCATGATGTGGCATTGGAGATAGCACCCCACTGAGGCAGTGGGTAGTCATCTTAGTGGGTTTAGCAATGGCTCTTCCCAGAAGCCTTTAACTTAAGGAAAGGAAGGAAGGAAATATATTAAAAAGTGAAGGTTTGTTTAATTTAACAGGCTAATGAGAAGAATACTTACAGTATTCTTGCCTGCTATTCTGGCTCATGTGTCCAGAATAGAGCATGTGTTTAATGCTTATCATGGCATTAAAAGAACCCTTGAATATGCTGAGTGCAGACTTTTTTTCTGGTTGTTTTCCATTGACTTACAATCCCCTTCTTCTGGGGTGGTATTGTGTGTTAACAGGACTTAGGGCCAGGGAGGGTTTCTTGAGGAGATGAGTATCCTGCCTTACACTCATTGGCCTTTTTGCTTTACTCCAGGGTTGCCAGCAGAGATCCTGACCCCAGATGGCATAGAGTATGCTGTGGTGGAGAACCAAATAGTGATCCTACATTGCAAGACATTTGGGGCACCCAGACCTAAAGTGCAGTGGTACAGTTTCTGTTTTGTGTCATTTTCAGAAAGCACAATGTGTTTTGTCCATAGCTGCTCTGACATTGTTTATTTGGCCCCAGTTATATATCAAAATTTTCTTAGTATCACTCATTTCATTTGTACTTGGAAAACATCAAATGCCTCTTTGGATTTTATTAGCCTAGCTCTCTCAAATAACAAACTAATGGGCACAATGCCAGTGCCAATGGAGGAAGAGAATTGGGCCAGTGAAAAACACAATTATACTATTAGCATATTCAGGAAATTGCAGAAGTTACACAAGGGAAAGAAAAAACAAACATATATATTCCATTGCTCCATTCTCTTTTGGGATAAGCAATATTAGGCAAAATATAGTAAAGGCCTAAGAAATAGCACTTTAAACAAAATAAATTAAAGGCAATTAAAGGTGTTATATATGAAAAAATTATTAGGAGCTGGATTGTGTTGCAAAATAAGTGCACTGAGGGTACTATAGAGAGATCTCTATTTGTCATACCTCCTTCTTGTTTTCATTTTCCAGGTTTATGGAAGACATGAACCCTGCCCTAAAAGATGAACGAACCTTTATATTCACAAATGGATCCCTGAAACTTCAGGAAGTCCGACGTGAAGACGCAGGAAACTTCACATGCTTGGCTGAAAATGATCAAAACAATGTCTCCATCATTGCTCGCCTAGTTGTCAAAGGTGAGATCAGATTTTCCAACTATGCATTAAATCAGAGAGAAATATGAGAGAAAATAGTTGACCATAAGAGATGTGATAGGAAGGAAGTAACCAGAAACAAAGTACTGTAGCTTTCAGCTAAATCCTCTAAAACTGTTTTTCTCCCAACATTCCACTTCATAAGTGGATGTGGCAGGTTATGCCAGAGTTTTTACTATTGGTCAAAACATCAGAGGCATCTGTAAAATCCAGTGAAATGAGCATTGTGTCATGATGCTCTATTCCTTACACACATGCATATGACATGATGACAATAAATATCAAAAGCTTGTAATACAATGTTGTGATGCCTAATTCATCATTTGTCTCCTCCTTGCCTCCCTACCAATGCCCACATGAATGAGGTTCTGCCAGGCCATCTGCCTGTGACATCAGACTAAGCTTTTAATCTGGCAAGACTTTCCGAGCGTTCATGTCCCTCCTGGGAAGAGGATGAGGGGAAGTTGGTGTTTATTTATGCTTGCTAATAAATTCTTTGTACCTAAAGATGTATTGTCTTTTCTCCAGTGTGGAGAATGGCTTAAAGATAATCTCTTCATGTGGAAAGTGACCTGAAGACTTTCATTTAAAATTAAGTACTGTAGATGGCAGTTTTACTTGGGAGCAAATGTAATGATGTTTTAGAGAACTGTGATGTTGTCAAATGTGAAATGATTAGTTTACGCAATACACTGAACCATAGATCAGCAACTAACAACATTTCAGCCTACCAAATTGTGTGAATTCAGCCCACACGGACCCTTTTATGGTTCAATGCATTGTGCAAACCCAAAATTAGCTTAATTGAGTAAAGCACGATTAAGCTTCATGTGAACTTAATAAAAGAGTAGCACAAACAGATTAGTTGAAAATGTTTTTTTCTGGCTCCTTTCAAGGCATATGCTAGGCTAAAATGTTGCCTTGTTTGTGGTTCAGTCTGTGTTGAGTAGACAGTCTTTGTGAAAAATGTAGGAAGGAATCACGTTTTACTTCCTTAAGATGAAAATGAGGGACTGCTGCTGAGATTTTCAAGCTGGAAAATGTCTTGGGCTAGTCATAGTTGTATTAAGAAGCATTCAAGCCATGCTGAAGAATGATTAAAAAAAAGCCAAGTGGGATAAATGTATGAGAAGACGATAGATGCCCACAGTAAGACTTTATGGGTGGAGAGGCTACAATACAATATTCCATTCCTATTGCAGGAGCAACACAGATTGAAGAGGGACCTATCAACATGGAAAAGAAGCAAGGTGAGAGTGTGATGTTCTACTGCAAGGTACTGTTTGATGAGAGTATTCCGAAGCGTGGTATCCAATGGCGCCTAAATGGAAAAGATATTGAAGAATCAGATGACAATAACAAGTAAGTTCAAAGAGCACAATCATGTTGAATAAAAGCTTAGGGTTCAAAGGACTTTTGCATTAACTTTACTCTGACCGTTGGTCTTTCCCTAGATACATCATTGGTGACATGTCTCTCACAGTCACCAACGTGGACTACTCTGATCAAGGAACATACAGCTGCCTGGCTTGGACCACCCTTGACTCTGTAGAAAAAAATGCCAATCTTTTGGTGTATGGCAAGTACCAAAAAAGGAAAAGATTAGATCTGGATTGTTTCTCTCTTGAGGTTAAACTTCAGACCAGGGAAATCTCAAAGGGATGCAGTGATATACCTGACACATGGGTACTAAATTGGTATTTAAAAAAAAAAACACTAGCTTTTTGCTGTGTATCTATTTTTGCAGTTTGGCCCATGTATATTTCTGGCAAAGCCATTTACAGTTCAGCACTTTTACAACAATAAAAACATAATTGAAACAAAGCAACTTGTCAATAAATAAAAATAACAGTAATTATGTAACAGTGATATATCAAATATACATGGATTTCAAGAAGGGAATGCCAGTTCCAAAAACAAGGTTTCAGATTATGTTTTGAGGTAATTAAAGAAGGTGTAAAATGTACCATAATGGGAAGGGAATTGCATAGCATTGAGACAGCTACAGAAAAGGCACTTTTTTGTATTACACTATTACTTACTTTCCTTACTTTTTCTTTTAAAATGTTTATTGTTTTTAATTCTTTAATTCACTTTAAATTCTTTTTTTAAAAAAAATAAAAATTACAGATAGTTCTTGACTTATAACAGTTCATTTAGTGACCATTCAAAGTTATAACACCGTTGAAAGTGACTTATGATCATTTTTCACGCTTACAACCATTGCAGCATCCCCATGGTCACGTGATCAAAATTCAGATGCTTGGCAACTGACTCATATTTATGACCGTTGCTGTGTCCTAGGGTTATGCGATCACTTTTTGCAACTTTCTGACAAGCAAAGTCAATGGGGAAGCCAGATTCATTTAACAACCATGATACTAACCTAACAACTGCACTGATTCACTGAACAACTGTGGCAAGAAATGTTGTAAAATGGGGCAAAAATCACTTAACAAATGTTTCACTTAGCGACTGAAATTTTGAGCTCAATTGTGGTCGTAAGTCAAGGACTACCTGAATAAGAAAAGGCTCTCTCTCCAGTTGATTCCAGGCAGGCCTCTCTTCTTAGATGCATTCCCTCAGAAATCCAAGACTGTATGTTCTGATTGGTAAATTATTTAATTTTAGTGGGATATTATTTGGGAGGAGATTAACTCTTAAAATTAAGCTGGATGATTCACTGAAATGTGGAGAGTTCTAAATATTGATAGCAAAATTTATTTACCAAATTTATTTTCTGCCCATCTCGCAGTTCAGACGACTTGCAAAATACAATTTATAAATTTTATAAGTATAAATGTAAATGCCACAATTTACATACATATGTAATGTAATTTATGTTTTATATAAAACATAGTGCATAAGACAAAGCAGACATTGGTCTGTTTTTTTTAATGAGGTGAATTTGTTTCTAGTGTGTTACAAAAATACAGAATGAAACCCAATGAATAATGGCTTTGAGCCACAAATGTACAGAAAACTGACAATTCCGGATTTTCAGAAATAAGCTTCTGTTTAAAGAATCTAGTTTTAATTACATTTAATCAATCAACAACTTTAAAGGCTACAGATTCAATCTACTTTAGATGGCGGATTACTCCGTCAGCAGATAATTTGTAAAAATTAAAGTTGTAATTCTGACACTGAAGGGGGAGTGAAAGGATTCAAATTTTCACACTGTGACACAGGCTTGGAAAATCTGTTTGGGGGGAAAAATCGGATTTTTCTTCTGTAGTGAGGACAGACAGGTGGGTGGCTGTCTCATTATATTCTTTTTTTGTCAGGCGAACCTGGCCCTGTATCAAATCTGGAGGTGCAAAGGCAGCAGAATCATCAGGTAAAGCTGACATGGACCCCCGGAGATAATCACAACAGAGAAATAAATGGTAAGGAATCGTGCTGAGTATCTTGCAATTAAGGAGAAATGACCCCTGATTAATCAGAACTCATGGATTTTCCTTGGAAAAGGCATCCACAAGGACTGCTGCTTTCATCAAAATGACAAAAGCAGTCCTGTTGCACCACAATCTTAGGCCTTTTTGTATCCACTATTTTTCTCTTATAGCAGCACTTAGAAAATATTTGTGGCTAGAAAACACCCTAGACAGCAACTTTATATTTCTTTGTTTATATTGCCACTGTTACTTGTGACTTAGCATAGTTTAACAAAAGACTGATGGAAAAGATGCAGCTGTCTGTGATGTATAAAATGACTATTCAGTGCTTCCTTACAGATATCTCTGAATTTTGAAGCTAGATATAAATCACACACTGGTAAAATCGTCATTTTTACATTTCCCTGTTTCTGTATATGTGTAGAAATACAGAAACTATTCAGTAAGTCAGGGTACTGAATGAACCCGAATGCCTGGATTTGCACATCATGCTAAACCAAAAATTAGCTTCATCTATGTACAGGTGCATTTTACCTCAGCTTGTAGCATGAACCTAGGAAAGCCGTAGGTAATAGCAATTTTAATGAGTTTTTTAAAAAAAAATCATTCAAACTCTCAGATTATGTTTCCCTTCTCCTTCACAGAATATATTGTGTTTTGTGAAGAAACCAAATTTGGGCCAGCAGAAATGGAATTGTTAACTACTGTCCCAGGGAACCAGCCATGGACTATTCTTCACCTCTCTCCATTCAGAAGTTATAACTTCTATGTACAGGCCAGCAATGACCAGGGGAAAAGCGAATTAAGCAGCCGGTCTGCCAGTCATGCCACGGAACCTGCAGGTAAGAAGGTTCAAGATGCTGGAAGAAGGCTATAGGCAATGTTCCTTGTAGGTGTTAACACAACCATGCCATCCACAAAACAGTGCTGCCCCACAAACATTGGCTCCTAATACCCCTGGGACAGGCATTTTCAGTCTGGGAGGCACAGTGGACATTTGGTTTTGGTTGATTCAAGACATCCCCGAAAGTAAGACTCAATGGGAAAATAAACCCTAACATGATTTTTCAGAACACTTATAATATAAGCCCCGCCCCCAAAATAAGTCCCAGTTAAAATCGTCAGCCAGACAGACGCATTTAGTACCGTATTTCCCCGAATATAAGCCCTAACTGGAAAACAAACTCTAATGCGTCTTTTGGAGCAAAAATTAATATTAGATCGGGTCTTATTTTCAGGGAAACATGGTACAGACATCCCAGTATAACTCCAGTCTCTTTGTTTTTCAGCACCTGAGCGAAACCCATCTGATGTCAGAGGAGAAGGAAATGAAACCACTAATATGATCATCACCTGGACGGTAAAATATTGATTCATTCACCTCAGTGATATTGGTCCCAATCTCTTGTACTCCTCATCCACAGATTCATTGCCACTGGCATCATTTGTAGGATTATGTTGTAGTGCAAGGAGTGGTTGCTAGAGTTGTTGAGTTTTTACTGAAAAGAAATTCTGAAAAACACCTGATGGGGTCATTTTTCAAGGTTGTTGGATTTATTTTTCATGGAAAGATTTGTTCCGTTGCATAAGGTCCTTGAGCATGTCTGCACAAATACAGCTCGCCATCATGAACACAATCCATGGGCTTAATGTTCTTGGGTACATAGGAGGCTTAAACAAACGCCACCAAAGGAAGTAATCTACAGTTCAATTAGCTCCAAGGATAGAATAAAGAGGCTTGCAAAAACCAAATGTTACAGGTAGTCCTCAAATCACAACCTTTCATTTAGTGACCAAAGTTACAACAGCACTGAAAAAAGTGACTTATGACTGGTCCTCGCACTTACGGCGATCGCAGCATCCCCACAGTCATGTAATCAAAATTTGGGTGCTTGGCAAATGGCATGTATTTATGATGGCTGCAGTATCTCGGGATTCTGTGACTTCCATTTGCAGCCTTCCCTGTCATCTTCCAAGAACAGAGCCAATTGGACGAACTGGATTATCTTAACAACCACATGATTCACTTCAATTATTCACTCAACAACCATGGCAAAAAAGGCTTTAAAACTGGCCGTGACTCACTTAAGAACTGCCTTGCTTAGCAATGGAAATTCTGGTCCCAATTGTAGTTATAAGTCGAGGACTATCTGTACATGAGTAGAGATCTACATTTGGTTTTTGCAAGCCTCTTTATTCTATCCCTGGAGCAGATTGGACTGGAACTGTCCCATATGGTGGGACTGAAGGATGGCAACTTCGGAGGATGGGTACCACTGCTGCCTTCAAGGCGATCAGCATTTTTCAAATCCAGCTGCACACATCCTGTTCAACTCCCCAAATTTTGCAGTGTTCTAAAAACAGTTGTGCCCTGATGTGTCTTTGGGGTGGAAGTGTACCTCCATTTTTCAGTTCATACAGTTATCTAAATATGACCAAGTTTCATGAGAAACTTTAGCTGTTTTTGTTTACCTCCTGCCCCCATAGATCAAGCGGATGAGTATGCAAGAGCTTTTTAATAATAGCTTCTTGACTGTGCCATTTCCTCCTGAGAAAGTGTGATTTGTTTCTACCTAATTTGATTTTAAATGGGAAGCAAAGACCATTCTGTATCATCAAGCTCTTGATGCTATATGTTTATCACATCCACATTACCTTTTGTGGTTTATTTATTTATTATTAAACATGTACTTTGCCGTTAGGCATCTGTAAGCACTTAAGGCAGTTTACAGCAATGCAGAGAAGTTGCTTATGTGCAAATTTGTTAAATTGCTATTGCTTTGCTGGCTTCCTGTGCCGTTCAAAATCATATGGGCTACTTCACGGTGAATCTTCCTTTCTTGGGTTATCATGTGTGCCAGTGACAGAAAACGTGTGTGTTGCAAGGTCTGGAAGTCATGTTTGTGTTGAAGCAGTGTATGCCCCCACAGCCCAATTGTCCATTTTAGTCTCTTAACTCTGTTTGGGTTTGCTGTGTTGTTTGTGTTCCAGCAGAAATAGGTGGCAGCATACCAGTGTGCTTCTCTTCCAGTATTGTCCCTGAATTGCCACGCTTGTCATAATGATAGGTTATTTTGGCTGAATTCCCAGGAAGGAACTGATGCCAGATGCTTCATTTCAGAGAGGTTTCTACCAAATTCAGCTGTTATTCCTGCTACAGCTGGCCTGGCACTGGTTGCTTCGCATGGTTCATTTGTAGAGGAAGATGCCATGTAAAATCCCACACATTTCAAAGATGCCAGTTGCTTTTTGTGTCCTGAATTAGAAATGTCTTTCTCTTCATGGAAAAAGGGGGAGTTGGTTATGGAAATCCCCTTCTTTGTTGATGCTATCAGGATTCCCAGAAGCGCTTTGACTCAGAGAAAAATTGGGATAATAAAACTAGCTTTATAATCAAGAAGTGTTAGGCATATCATGCTCTTATTTGGAGAAGGTGAAATGAACAGAAGAATTTAATGAAAAAAATCCTAAGATTTTTTAGAATTTCCCAGTAGAATTAAGAGCATAAAGCTGGTTTATCACTTCAAAAAAGGTTTTGTTTGCTTATTTGTTGCTAAGGAGAAGACAAAAAGTAAGCCTTGCTTACAAGTGATATTTACATTTGAGACGTGTAACAGGTGAACTTTAACTTCGCATTAGGCATTAGATGGATGACCTCTGAAGAAAATTTGCAACAAAACACCTTATTATAAGATATTTTTTTCTTGCTCCCATCTCTTCTGTCTTTGTGCCTCCGCCTGCTGGTGTTTTGGAGACTTGTGGTGCTTCCAATGCATGGTTTCCTCAATGTTTTCTCGAGCTGTGTCTTCCTTCCAGATTTGATCATTTCTACCTTACCTCATGTTGTATCAAGAGATGGAAAAGTAATGCATCTCTTGTTTGGATGGCCAGTTGAGTAGTTACCTATGGCAAGCAATTGGCCATGACATAACTATCAGGCTGCCATTCAAAAAGAAAGTGGCAGACTGCCATTATTTCCCATTTATTTATTAAACAAACTTATGTAGCTGCCCAACTTACACATAGTTAACTCCAGGTGGCTTACAAAATATAAAAGAATCCACCATATAATAAAAACCCATTAAAAAAAACTACACTCCCCATAACACCAACAATACAATCAAATCAGCCTCTTGATTGGCTCCATCTCCATCTCCATTCATGGTCCCCAGGCCCACTGACAAAACTTTTTGTTTAGGGCCTTTTGGAAAAGCAACAGTCAACTGTACCTCTTGGGGAGTGATGTTCCATAAAGAAGGGCCCACCACCAAGAAGGCCCTTTTTTGTGTTCTCACCAGATGTACATCCCTAATTGATGGATTTAATGTACAGACAGTGAAAGTATGCTTTTAAAAACAAGCGTGAAAATCCTTGGCAGGCTCATCCCCTTGCACCTCATGTTCCATTTTGTCAGCTGTTGCTCTGTTGCTACTATCTGTTGTGATAGCCATGTGTCCAGAGGCAGAAAAAGCAGCATACAGATAGTCCTAGACTTACAATAGTTCATTTAGTAACCATTAGAAGTTACAACAACACTGAAAAAATGACTGATGACCATTTTTCACACTTAGGACCATTGTAGCATCCCTATGGTTATGTGATCAAAATTCAGATGCTTGGCAACTGAGTCATATTTATGACCATTGCTTTGTCCCGGGGTGATGTGATCATTTTTGCGATCTTCTGACAAGCAAAGTCAATGCGGAAGCCAGATTCACTTAACAACCATGTTACTAACTTAACAATTGCAGTGATTCACTTAACAAATGTGGCAACAAAGGTTGTAAAATGGGGCAAAACTCACTTAACAAATTTCTCGCTGAGCAATGGAAATTTTGGGCTCAATTGTGTTCATAAGTCAAGGACTCCCTATATTCTACACCAGTGATGGCGAACCTTTTAGAGTCCGAGTGCCCAAACTGCAACGCAAAACCCACTTACGGTATGCATTGTAGGGTGCTGGGTGGGTGTGGCCCATTGGCTGGGTGTGGCCCATTGGGTGTGGGTGGCTGCGGTGGTAACGGTAGACTTGGTGGGACTAAAAAGTTCAGTCAATCAATTCCAACTTTGCAAGATCTTTTTTTTCCCCGTGAGAAGTTGAAATTGACTGATTGATTGAACTTTTTTTTCTTTTTTGCACACGGCGGCGGAGGCCTAAAGCGAAAAGGTTTTATAAAACCCAGCTGAAAGCCTAGGACTGGGGCGACGGTGTGTGTGCCCACGGAGAGGGCTCTGAGTGCCGCCTCTGGCACCCGTGCCATAGGTTCACCACTACTGTTCTACTCCATAGGCCCTTTTATGATTTCCAATTTGACAACTTTCTGGTGCCATGATTCTGGGTGTTACAAGAAAAATCAAGAGTGGACATTCTGGAAAGCATAGGAAGAGGTCATAACAAGATGGGAAATCAAAGAACAAGTATAACAGACAGACAGGAATCCATTGCTGCAACATGATTCTTCAGACTTGGGGTTTTTGATTTACTCCCATCAAAGACCATATTACTAAGATGGACACTACTTTGGAATGTTCAGACCTCTAGTCTGAACTACAAAGAGTATTTTTAAAATATTATTCACTTTCCTGGGAATTTGGATGGGATGGGCTAAGTAATCTAGCCCACTGTGAGTGATACCTACTTCTTTATACTATAGGTAACAAAAGCTGACTTTCCTATCACCAGGACAGAAGAAATATGAAAAAAAAAAATACCGCAATAACTTTCTGGCCAGACCTCTGCTTCCTGCATATCTGAAATACCCACTTATTTTTTATGAAGACTAGATCACAAGTTGATTTAAATTCAGGATCAGATTTGGTAAACGCAGCTATAAGGTTATCCATTAATCTATTTGTCTTCTCAATACTTGAGAGGAAAACAATTAAAAAGAAATGGGGTAAATCCCCTTCCTAAGCTATTTTAGGTCAGGTGATAAATTAGTTCTGTATTAATAACAATTCAATTGCTAAACCCTAATCTCAACTCAGTCTTGTTAATGAAGGCACTGTGAATAAAAATCATGCTTGGAAAAGGTATTTTCAATCAGGAACAATGTCCAAAGGCTACAGATTTGTCTTCTACACCCACATTTCTTTGGTGTAATATTCTGGTAATATTATGATGGACTTTTATTTCTAACTATTAAAAATGTAATATTCTTCAGTTTTTCTTTTGCCGAAAGGAAAGGAAAGGAAAGGAAAGGAAAGGAAAGGAAAGGAAAGGAAAGGAAAGGAAAGGAAAGGAAAAAAGGTCTAAGCTTGTCATTTCTTTGATTGCATGACTCACAGTTACCGGTAATTCATATATAAAAAGAATCCCTCCTTTTATTACTCTTCTTCTACATTCTATGGATCTGCTCCTGAATTTTGGGATTGAGTTAACCCAGTGGTCTGCCTCCAAGTTCTAATCCCTTCAATTTTGATGCAAGCTCATCACAATTTGGTGACCTTTCATTATAATCTCTGGCCCAGAAGTCAAAAACCTAGAGTCCACATTTTCTCTACAAGAGAAAAATATCCCTTTTGTGAAACAGTTGTCATTTTTAGCTTTCAGTCAATGTGCTAACTATACTCCAGGTACTGCCTACATTATCTATGAAATGGCTTAGCTACATCCTTCCTTCCTTCAACTCATATCTTGCTAATGGAAAACCTATATAATATAAATGATATTTTAATTTAAATGCTAAATGTCCTCGTCCCTAAACTTCTATGTTCAAACTACTAGGTTCCCAAAATTACTTTTCAAAATAACTTCCATTTCTTCAGTTATATCAGTAGCTCCTTAGCAGATTTGCTTTGGTTAACCACTAATCTCTGAAATGGATGCATTCAGTGAGATGTTGTACTGGTAATATTGAAAACCAGCCATCCATGTTAAGCAGGATATAATCATTCCACAAATGGATGCCCTAATCTGAAGACTTGCATCTTCTCTTCTTCTGCTCAGCCTACATCTATTTGCATCTATTAACAAGCAGTGTCTGAAGTTCTGTTCATGATCAGAAATTGACAGATGGTTGATTACTGGATTAAATCACTTTTATAGGTGTTTCCTCTCATCCTTTGCATTATTAAGATTTATTCTTGCCTTCTCCAGGTACTATCACTATGCATTTTAATAACCCCACAGTGACAGAGACAACTGAAGGTTGACTTCTCACTGGGATATTCTCTCTTTATTTGAAAAAACTTATTTTTCAAGGAGACAGCAGGATATATTACACCGACCTCCAAGCCCTCCATTTGACAGCATGGATTCTCTCTCCTATACAGACATTCAACTGGCGGGTCACATTGCTAATTCTTAAAAAACCTGTGCCCTTAAAATGGATTTTGATTTCTAAGTTTGTTATTAAAAAAACTGTAATATTTTAGTTATTTTTTAAGGGTTTCTTTTTGCTTAAAAGACAAAAGGTCTAAATTTGTCATCTATTTCAGTTGAATATGTTCCTATGTTATACTGTCTTCTTGCACAGCTAAATGTTTCAAAGAACTGTTGAATTTATCTCCTCTATTCCCCCTGTGATGACAGGCTGTCTCCATGATCCCAGTTCCAACATGGAGTCAGTTTATGTTTCTCAATCTTCTAATAGCACTGCTATGCAAAACTGCAATATTTATTGATATGCACCAGTTGACCCCCTATGATTGCAAACTTTGAATGCAATTGCTTGAGTGTATTGGTCATGAAAACACCGTACCCTTCTGAGCAGATATTTCTTATCTTGCTTTCTATGAAGTCATGGCCCATTTTTCCTTTTAATTGAAAGCTACTGTCAAGAGGATGGGTGGACTCACATTTCATCCTAAGCTATAATGAGTTTTACTTAAGCTAAACAAAATGCGAGAATCCATTCATTATAGCTTTCTTATGTATATAGAAGATCACTATAATTTAAATAGCCTGACATTATGTGTAAATTATCTGTAAATTAATTTATCCCTTCCATGAATTTACTTTAAAAAAATAGCTACCCAAACAAATAATCACCTTCACATCTTATACTAGGATTAACCTCATAATGTTTCAATTGCCCCAGAAAAGCCATGGACAGGACAAGAGCAGGATAGAAACCTTCTCTTTGTGTGCCTGAGCAATTATTGTCAAGAGGCCCACTCCCTCTGATATTGAAAATATTGTGGCTAATAGGCATTGATAGTTTTATTCCCCCATTGATTTTTCTAATATCTTTTTAAGGGTAATTGAGTTGATGACCACTGCTACTTTTTAAGATAGAAGAATCCATGCACTCTGTGGTGCAAAAAGCCTATTATTTAGTCTGTCACAAATCTTTCACCTTTTGTCTTCTTTAGGTGACCTACAGTTCTAGAATTGTAGGAGATGATGAAACGCCTCTGCTTTCTCTTTATATGGTATTTTTTCACAATTCTTCTGCCATGCTGGCTGGAGCTGCTAAGAATAAAAATCCAAATTAATTAGTAAGTCACCAGATTACAGTACCTTCCTCTGTTTGAGGCCAATCTACAGCTCTGATTTGCCATTATTATGCAGGAGTGAAAGTGATCTCATGAAAAGATTATTGGAAAGAGTGTTCCTGCAAAAGGGTTCCCATTCAGTGAAGTTTGTCTGTCACCCAGGGTTGCTGTTGATTGTATGTCTTTCTCTTCCACCTGCTTGTTTTTCAGCCCTTGCCTCACAAGGAGTGGAATGCCCCAAAGCTGAGGTATCGTGTACAGTGGCGGCTAGAGAATGAAGACCAATGGGAAGAGGTGGAAGTTGACGACTCTCCTGTGTTGGTGACAGATACCCCTGTCTTCTCACCATATGAGATCAAAGTGCAAGCACAGAATGATTTTGGCAAAGGGCCTGAACCTCAATCTGAAAAAGGTTACTCAGGGGAGGATGGTGAGTAATGAGGGATCCGTTTATGCCCATATATTGAACAAAACACAGCTACGTTACAAAGTGTGGGAGTTTTAATCCCAGCACATCTGGAGGTATCAAAAGGAGAGGGGAGGGAGCTAACATACTGTCAACTTATGAAACGAACCTGGCAGAAGCCATCTTTGTCATTCTCAGTTGCCACACAAGTTGGGAGGAAGGGGGGGGAGGGAGAAACCGAAAGGATCACTAGACTAAACACAGAGCAATCCTGTGGGAACCAAGGTCATTCCCACAGGGGCTGGGAGGTGGAGAGAAGAAGTGTCACGGAGCCCGCCAAATGCCCTCATTGGGTAGTGTGATCAATAGCATAGTAGGGGGAGGGAAGTGTTACATTTAGTTACATTGAATTCCTGGGGGGAAAGTTTAGAGTTGGTTTCACTTTGACCGTGCCGATATTATGTATCCAATAAACATGTTCTTTGAGGAAACGTCAAGCCTCAGAGTTCTGATTTGTTTGGGTCCATTAGTCGGAATTTTGACATGTACATTATTTCAGTACCAACCGTGGCAGGAAACCAAATTAGATACTGAGCACCGATTTGTTTTTTAAACAGTTCAGTAGAACATTGCTATGCTATCATTGCTCTCCACCCTGCATCTAAGATTTCCATTTCCCCCATGTTTCTGAGGTATTTTTTAAATCCTTATTTCTGAAAATGTTTGTTTTTGAAAAAAGAAAAAAAAATGTGATTATCTTCTTTATCTTCTTTTAGATGTAAGATGATTCCCCCACCTCCCCTGTTTATATAAGAGTTATTTTCTAAATAGGATTCAAATGTGTTACTCTTGCTTCGTCCAACGAGAAGAAGTTTGATAGCATCCTTGCAAGCTTGTTAATTTGAAAATTGCTGCCAGAAATTTTTTGCTGCCTCTTAATTTTTGAATTCCATAGTTCAATGTTCTCAACCTGGCCAGTTTTAAGATGCAGGGACTTCAATTCCCAGAATTCTCCAGCCAACAATGCTGGCTAGGGAAATCTGGGAGTTGAAGTCCATGCATCTTAAAGCTGGCCAGATTGAGAAATACTGCCATAATCTATTGTGGCTTTTCTCCTATAATGTCTGGCTGCCTTCAAGGACAAGTAGCTCTGTTGGATAGGGAATGGTTTTACTATTCAGTAAAACAAATGGAGCAGGGTTTACTTCTCGCCCATACCCAGCAGAAACTGCCAGAAAGATAAGAAACAGTTAATCCCAACAGTCCTGTATAATTGGATGTTTTAGGCATACAGAAGTCTTTAATGACAGAATTCAGTTATTGTTTTCACGATCATAGTCATCTTGGTCATACATAAATAAAAAATACAGGTCCTTGAAATAGCTGGATTTTATTTTTTCTAAATTGAGGGTGGGCTATTGCCTGCTTGTTCAGCCAGCAGTTTCCACTAAAACATCCCCCAAAAGTTCAAACTGAAATTTGTGTAGTACTGGAAGACCTTGACCCAATTAACCTTCCAATACTGAACCTACTTATTGTAGCTAACCTCACTGGGAGATTCCTTAGTAATCATTACTAAGATTGCACAGGACATTAGAGATTTCTTCTGTCACTTCATCTTAATTTATCTTTGCGCCTCCTGTGATACTCCAACTTTTTTTTCTCTCAGGCTGGCAGAGAAGAGTTTTATTGTACTGCTCAGAAGGATGGGAAATGCCATTTCTGATTTTTTTCTTTTCTTTGCCAACTTTGCTTGGCTTCCCACTTGATAAAGCAGATTGTACAGCTAAAAAGCTTGCTTACTACTTTGTGACATTTGGGACTAACTTAATAGAGGAATTCCCCAATAGGTCTTTCTTTGGGGATTTGGAGTCTGGGCACTTGCAGAATATCCAATGCCATGTGTCTTTGTAGAACTTTCATCTTCCTTTCCTTTCTTGCTGAAATTTGTAAGTATAAAGGATCCCTCTTTTCCCTAGTGCCTGAGGCTGTCCCTGAAGATTTGCTGATTGAGATGATAAACAGCACTACCATCAAGCTTTCTTGGATCCTTCCCAACAGAGAGAAAATTTGGGGACACCTCAAGGGATTCAGGGTATGGCATAAGAACTTTGCATTGCATCCTGGAGGACAGCATTTGAAGCACCTTTTTAAAATACTTGGTGCCCTTGAAATATGTTAGAATTGGACACTATTATGGATCTACCACCAGGGCTGCAAAAATCTGGGCTACTGTATTTATCCAGTGGTTGGCTAGATTTCTGCAGCCCAAGTGTGGTAGCACTACTCCTAGAATCTTCAGACTAGCTGGAGTATTATGGGTTAAAATTAAAAATATTTGGAAAACTCCAGGTCTGGGGTGGGTGGGTAGAGAGAAATCTGTACTGCCAAAATTACTGTAACATAATCCCTTGTATAAATTCTGTAAACTGCCTTCATACTGTAAACTTTATCCTTCATATAAGTCCCCAAGCTATTGTAATATTGCATCTCCAAGTAGTAAAACCAGAGTAAATAATGTAAAAAGAGTCAACTGATGCAGAATCAATTTCACCACGTAAGAGGAACTGTGGAAAGTCCTCAGGTATAATATATCCACGCAGGTTACAAGATGTGGATGTTTATGGTACAGAACTGAGACTGACTTGCTGCAGAATTGTTTTTTAATTTTTTGTTTTTTAAACTCAGGGTAAACACTGGCCTGTGGGACTTCAGCAAGACTCTGAATAGAACTGCCATTCGGCCAGAAGTTTACTGACCAGGCTAGAATTACAACTGAATGTAAACCCCAAAATTGTATGTTTTGTTTGTATCATTTCCCTGCTTTTTGTGAGAGATTCCTTGTTAAAGGTGCCCTTCAAGGAAGGGAACATTTGATACATGCTGAAAAGCATTTTGGCCTTGTATGCCTTCTATTCATACAAATTAAGAAGGAGAAATAATTCTTGACATGCTCACAGGCACCCTTCCATCACATTTTGGAGGGGAGGAGTGAGCGATTCCACTCATGATGACAGGCATTTTTCAAAAAAACTTGCCAATATCGAGTGAGCTGGTGGGTGTCTTGAAGTCTGGGCAAATAATTTCTCCCTCTTTCTCTTTCTTTCTTTGAAATTCCACCGTCACCAGGTGTATTACTTCAGGTTGGGAACTCTGGCAGAACGTAGCCGTCGACAGGCCCATCTTCACTTCCATTCCCACGGGGAGCTGCTGATCTTGGGGAATGTGTCTGAAGTCATACTGGGGGGCCTCAGGCCCTGGAGCCGGTACCAGGTTCAGCTGGCAGTGTTGAATGGGCGGGGGGAGGGGCCCCGCAGCGAGGCCATGGAGTTTGTTACACCTGAGGGAGGTAAGAACCGACGGTCTTTCACTCTCAGAACTTTCAATCCGTGCCTCCCTCTATGCACCTTCTGAACTTCTTTCCAACTTCTGCTCCTACTCCTAGAAGCTCTCTCCATCCATATTACTTTATTCAGACCTCGCATTATGTGCAGAATATCGGACAGAATGTATAAAAGAGTTGAAAGCTGTAAGCACAAAAATACTTTGCTCACAGACCAGGTCCAGGTCTGAAAGGCATGAAATGTTCTGAAATGAAACAAATTCCAAGGTGTCCAACTTTCTACTGTTTTCCTATTTGGCAACCCCATTTATCACATTTTAACTTCATGAGAAAATATGTATGAGGCAGTGTATGAAGCATAAATCTGAATTTGGGGGCAGGTGGGAATCCTGCCCCCAAATAAATTAAAATGAGCTTCTATTAACCACAGCTTCCCTTGCCCATTCACTTAATCAGTTTGTAGAAACTAGTATCTTTAAACATGTCTTAAAAGTGAAAATTTGCATTAAGCAGATATTGAGGGGGGAAACTATTACTCATATTGCTACTATTACTGTTATACAAAAATAACGATATGGTAGGTATGGACAATCTTTCAGGTTTGTAAAATATCATGAGGGTTAGCAGTGCAATAGGAGGAGTAATAGTAGAAAGGGGGCAAAGTATATTACTGTATATCTGAGTATGTTGCTAGAGCTGGATTTTTCTGGATTGGAGGAAATTAGGTATTTCTTTATGTTATTAAAACTTAGTGAAGGCCTCATTAGTTAGCATCATTTATATGCTGCCTCAGTCATAAATTCTTGGTGACCTACATCTAAAATTCATACTAAACTCACAAATTCTAAAAACATAACAATAAAATGCAAACCACTAAAAACAAATGCTAGAGAGAAGACGAGGCCCTTGGGCTGGCAACCTCTTCCTCAAAGGTTCTATGGCAGTGTTTCTCAACCTTGGCAAATTGAAGATTTGTGGACTTTAACTCCCAGAATTCCATGCGCTTAAAGCTGCCAAAGTTGAGAAACACTGCTCTATGGGAAAAAAATGGTTTTTTAAAAAAAAAAATCTTAAAAGATTATAGTAAACGATCTTGGTTTCAAGGGTAAGATGTTTCGTTGGGCTTGAGCTGACATAGAAATTCATTTTTGGAACTCAGGACCCCTTGCTTTTTGTGGTCTGGCAATCCTCAGCACATGCTCCCAATTTGTGTTCGTATGATAGGCTCTTGTAAGTGTAGTATTGTGTCACGTAGTAGAAGAGACATCAAACTCTCCATTTTCCACAGTCACAGTGGCAGAAAAATTGCAGTACTGCAATGCAGGCAAAAAGGACTCAAGTCATGTCTTTGGGACTTGAAGTTTCTCATCCATTATAGTGAGGGATAATTTATTTTCTCTTCATAACAACAGTGATTTCATTCTATCAGGAGCTCTGTTGCACCTTTGGTTGCAATACTAAGGTTACAGACAGACATAAGTTAAGGATTATGCGATGAATGCTTCGTTAATGGCAGATAGATCTTTTGTTATGATGGGCTTGTTCTTGCTAATGGGAGTTTGCTCCAAGTATTTGAAGAATCCAAAAAGCTGGAGCATGCCTTGTCTACTATAGCTTTCTTCCCACATTCATAACCCTCTCCTTCCCATTTACATTCCTTGTGCCCTTCACTCTCCATTTCTCTTTGCCTCCTTACATAGTACCTAGCATCCCTGAATCCTTTCAGTTGGACTATCTCTCGGACACAGCCGTGTTGCTAGAGTGGATGGCTCCAAAATTCCCTAATGGGAGATTACTGAGATACGTGTTGGGATACCAACAAGGTGAGTCTGTAGAAGCTCTGGGGTTTTTTTGGGGGGGGGGCTGTAGCATAGCATCCTGGGAACCTAAAACCCTCACATATTTTGTATTTAGGTATGTTGCTTTTGATGCTGCTGTTCTTGTCACAACTTTCTTTGAGTGATTATTACTGTTGCATAATCAGAACTGTAGATTCAAAGGACCTTTGAAGGTGATCAAGGTTCAGCAATAAAGGATGCAGTTAGAGAACCTCTGTGAGATGACTATCTGGCATGTACTTAAAAATCCCCAGCAAAGAAGAACAACTGCTTCTCAGATCAAACACTTCCCTGATGTTTTGCTGAAATTTGCTTTCCCACGGGTTCCATCTGATGTTGTAATCCTACCTTCTGCTGTAAAGCAGAATAATTCAGCCCTGTCTTTTATATATATATATATATAAAAATAATACAAAATTAAAAACACATTGGACATAGATATGATGTCACTGGTTCCATACATGTTCCGACATTTTACAGTAGTATTAGTACTCATATAGACATATAGTTCTTGACCTTTGCTCACTATTTATAATATAATATTAACACTTTTCCCTTATTTCTGTATATCTATTTATCTTTTAAATATACATTTGTCTATAATCTATATTTTATTCTAACACTATACATTTGTCTTGGCTACCCTCTTATTGTCTATCCAATCATAAAATTGTTCCCAGATTTTGTAGTACTTAGTTTCATTTTTATCCTTGAGTTCCCATGTAAGTCTATCCATTTCAGCGCAATTGAAATTTTTCAGTAATATTTCCTCTTCGGTTGGAGTATCTTTCTCTTTCCATTTTTGAGCGAAGGCTATTTGTGCCGCTGTTACTATATGCAGTAGTAAATAATTTGTATCTTTCTTATATTTTCTTTCTATAATTCCCAATAAAAAAAATTCCGGTTTGGCCTCTATATCTATTAGCAACATTTCTTCCAGCCATTTCTTTAATAAGTTCCAAAATTTTTGTGCCTTTGGGCATTGCCACCACATGTGGTAGAAATTCCCAACGGTCTCTCCACACTTCCAGCATATCAAGGATTTCCCCTTGTTCATTCGTGCTAATCTTGAGGGAGGGAAGTGCCACCTATAAAACAACTTATAGAGGTTTTCCTTATAGGAGGCTGCTAGAGTAATTTTTAGGTTTTTTCCCATAAACTTTGCCAACTGGCAAAATTCAGCCCTCAGTCTTTCAATTACTTCAAGAATCCTAACATTTCCCCTCTAGTCTTGTTTTCTATAAGCTGAATTTACCACTTCTTTCAATATTTTTTCAAGGCAGAGACTGGTTTCCAGGCTCCTCACCATGCTGGCTTCCATGTACCAATGTCTTAGTAAAATATGTGGCACCAGAATGGGTTGTAACTTTTTGAAAGTAAAATGATTACATCCAGGCACCATGTTTCTATTAAAACTTATGATCAGATTACTGTTATTAGCCAGTGTATCATACTGCTGGTCTTATTTTATTTTGTGAATTGCTAAGACATCTAATTCATTTCATACATATTGTCAAGTTAGTTCTCTACAAGGTTATTCTAATACCTTTTATTGTTTTGGTACCTAAATTAAATTTTATTTCTGAACGTAGTGTAGGATTTAGCCCACTATTTCAGCCTGTTAAGAATTTTTAAAATTGGATTCCATCTTCCATAGCATTATGGAATCTTATGGCCATGTTTCATTTTCAGAACTTACTATCACTCCCTTTATAATGTTGTTGCTAGGTGGGAACACTGAGACTTTTGATCTGGTTAGTATTTGAATGGAAGATAACAGAAAATGTCTGAGAATTTTGAGCTAGACATGAAGGTAGCAAAACATTCTAAAAGGCAGCAAAGGCACATCAATTCCATAATGTTGACAAAAACATGAAATTGATATATCAACATAATCACCAGGGCCCGGCTTATTTAAAAAAAAGATTCTACTTGCTTTTCCACGTCCTTATCGGGGTTATTCATGAAAATGTTGAAGATTGTAGAACTTTGTAGCCTCTGCTCCATTTCCCCTTGCAAACAATTCCAGGGCAGTTCAACCAGTTGCAGATGCACTTACCAAGAGCATCCCACCTCTATTTTATCAACTCCAGCAAGAATATGGTAAGAATCCTTTTTACAGGGATGAATACTTTTCTGTAACCAAAGGCCAGACTTCATGTTTTTTGATGTCCGAGAGTCCCAAAGTGAATGAAGTCACATTTGTGTGAAATTGTGTGAAATTGGATTGTGTGGATATTTTTAGACAGTCATATTTCAGATCTTCAACTATAGTTTTCATATGTTTCCTGTTGTGTAGTGGGAACGGTGAGGCATTGAAGACACAGGAGTGAAAGTAATAGCTCGTTTATTCAATCCACAACAGAAGCGGCTCTAGCAGCCGCTTGACTCATATTTATACGGACCGCCACTAGGCGGCAGCCAATTATTTTAAAGTACACATTCCCGCCTAAAACACAGGCTTGCAGTATAGACAGACAGACAGTTAAGGATTTAAATTGAACCACTTAGTTAACCGTTTCTATAACAAAATTGGTTTAATACATAACATTTCCCATCTCAAAATGGCAGAAAATGTTGCTATCACATTCTTTACATATAAAGTTCCTTCTCTTCCCTTACTCTTGGTTCTCCCCTTTTGAGACAGATGGTTACAATTCAGTTATTAAATTTCAATTATGAACTGAAATAATATCCATAATCATAATACCACTCCATATTAAGATTTCAAATACTTCTTTCCCATAATCTGTGCATATAAATACTGTAGCCTTTCAGTATTGCTTCTTCTGTAATTGTCTAGTGTATTCACAGGGATATTTCTGGGAACCATTCACTTATCCTCTTACCTCATATCCCTGACCCAGCCAACTAGATTTGGACTTCTGACATTTCCCCCAAAGTCAAATTAAAATATTATTGATCAATTTTCTTAGGATCATGACAAATGTCTTTCTTCTAGTATCTATGAGGCTCACTTTACCTCTTCACCAGTGAATTCAAAATGTCAATATATGTTACATCTGCAAGACCAACTCTTTCCAAAAGATGCCATCTACTTAATCAGCTGTTTACTTTTACAGTTGTTCTGACCTTTGCTAAGAATTGATTAAAACATCACTTGGGGCTCCAATTCCTTCCTTCATTCAGAGTCTCCTGTGCTTGGATATATGTTTCAATTTCTTTTGGTTTATCCATTGCTGTCCATATACCTCAGTAGGAAAGAATACTAGTCAATGGGTTTGGTTTCTTAAGTACAACTCACCAGATGAAATGGCCTTCTTAGTCTTCCTCCATCTTCTCAGTAGGAACTCTGAGAGATTCCTATCAAGATTACTATTGATCCCCTTTTTCCTGCTCAGGTAGATTTCTGCATTTCTCCCTGAATGGTGCCTACTTCCTTCTTTAAAACATTCACCTCTTTGCTATTGTGCAATTTTCTTTACAGGAAATAGAATTAACAACCATACAATACAACCTCCCTATAACACTGGAAGAGTCTTGGTCACCTGTTAGCCTTGTCTACAGGGTATTTTGTCAATAATATATCCCCCAAAAAAGTTTCAACATATGTACAAATCCAAGTTGGAAACCCTTCAGGAAAGGAAATTCCCAACACTAATCCTCCAAAACTGTTTACACATTGCATATTATTAAAAAAATTGGTTACCTATGCATTTTTGCCTTATGTTTTCTTTGGATGTTTGCAGGTGGGGGATCTGTTTTGATTGAAGATTTTCATCTGCTCTTTTTTTTCAAAAACTTGGGGCATTTCAATTGATAATGCAATGATGCATTTTCTTTTTTTGTACAGGATTCAAAGTACCCATTTTCTAGATGGGCAGAATTGGAGAGTGACACTTTGAAGGCCTCTGTATTATTTTGGTGGGGTTTTATGCTCTCCTTCTACTGTGGACTTTTTGTGGGTATACTTTCACATTGCTAAGGCACAGGGGCTCTTTTTGGCATCTGACAATCTAGATCAGTGGCAGGGAACCTTTTCTCAATGAGAGCTGCAATTCCTCTTCCTGGTCAACTGGTGGACTGCAGAAGGCCTTCTAGGTGCTACTGGAAAGAGAAGAGCTGAAATATTTTGCCCCATTTTTCCCAAAAAGTGAGGCTTGGAGAGAGACTTTAAGGATAGGAATGAATGTCTGCATCATGGAAGCCTTGTGTTTCCCTTCCTACCGTAAAAATTACTGTAGTCCTTCATATTGAATGAAAATTATACCGCTAATGGTCATGTACAATCTTGGGAATCCTTGAGCCATGGATGGAGTGCTAGGAGGCAAACCTGGGCCATGGATTGTCATCTCTATTTTAGATGTCACCAGTCATGGGATTGTTGGTTATAGACAGATCATATGTTGTTTCCAGCTGTATCCCCTGCTAGTTTACTCAGCAATGTGTTTCACTGAATTTAATGAATCTAACTCCTAATTAAGTAGCCATAAAACTATGTTTATGCCCCAGTGAATTTACTTCCAAATAAAGTCATGCAGAAATCCTGAAATACAGACCGAGGCTGCTTGTTCTACCTGCTTAACTGAGAGAAAACTCTCCTGATCTGAATCTTCTTTGCCATGAAGTTCTATCTCATTCACTGTTTTTCTTGCAGTTGAAAAGCCATATACACAATCCAAATAAAAGCTCCTTTTTGAAAGCAAATACATGTTTTACAAAAGAATGTGTGCCCCAGCGTCATAACTACTTCTAGAAGGGACAATTTAGAGTAGAAAAGGAAGAGGAGAAGGTTTATTATAAACATTTACACATACTTTGTACATCTTTCTTCCATTCCTTTGGTTTCAGTGGTAGATAATTATGTTTCTGATGAATCTGAAGGGACTTAAAGAGACTCAGGATGGGAGACATATTAAAGATGGAAACTGATTTCTAGCATAGGTGGCAAGAATCACTAGCTAACATTCATTGATTCTTGTCACAATATGCTAGAAATCAAATTCCATTTTTAATATCTCTCCCATCTTCCCTGCCTTAATGCATGGTTCCTTCTTATCTGTTTTGTGCTTGTTGAGCATTGCCAACTCAGCAACAGGATTTGCATTTTCTGGCATGATAACCACCTTCTCCAAGCTGACAAGTTCTGCGAAATGAAACCCATCACATATGGACAGCAGGTTGGATGATAATGGCATTATTTTCTGATAATTAACCTGTTACTCTTCTGCCGTCTTGTGCCTAGCCAATCAGACAGAGATGGACATTGGCAACATCCATATCCCAGCCACCCAGTTAAGCCTCAATCTCAGTGACCTTGATCCCCACACTCCCTATAAATTCTCCTTGTGGGCAGAAACCAAAGAGGGTCGAGGAGAAGTATCCTTACTTGAGGAATATACAATGCATGAGTCAGGTATGTGAAGCCTTAAAAAATATTTCCTGCTAATCTTAGAGAAGATATTTCCTACAACATTCACCTAGAAACCATGGTTAGTGTGCTGAGCTTAAATACACTTTTTTAAATTATTATTTACTGTTTGGTTTGCTCCCTGCCTTTTGTTCAGAAGCTCATTTTGAAAACATAGTGCTCCCTGTTTCAATTTTCACCTACAATAACTCTATGAAGTAGGCTGGGATGAGAGACCGTGACTGACCTGAAGTCACCTCCAGAACATCCATGGCTGTATGACCTTTATTCACACTTACAACCATCACACTATTCCAGCAGTCATGTGATTACAGTTTTGGACACTTGGCAGCCAGCTCACCTTTACAACCAGTTGCGGCATCCTGCGGCTTTGTAATTGTGACCTGTGGCCCATTGGGGAAGTTGGATTTGCTTAATGACTGCATGGTTCATTTAACAATCATGGTGATTCATTTAACAACCATGTTAAGAATGGTCATAAAGTTGAGTCCAGTCATGTAATGATTTGCTTTATGACTGCCCTGATGATGGAGATTCTGGTCCCAATTGTGTTCATAAGTCAAGGACTCCCTGTGGACCCTAATTGGTCCATGAGATTTCCATAGATTACATCTCTACTCAGATTGTTTACACTGTTAGTCTGTGCCTTTCTTGCCACAAATCCTTTGATTTTGCCCTACTTTCAGCTGTAAAAATGACTGTTGAGTGTGTTCTGCCTACTTGGTTATACAGACGCGAGAGTTGGTATTCAAAAGAAACATGAAAGTAAATACATGAAAATACAATAGAATTAGTTACTTAGTGTGTGGTCAAATAAGAAGAGATAGGGCCAAGAATGAATGAGTGGTGAATGAATGTGGATGGAATTCAAAATAAAATGACAGTACCGACTTTTAGGTGGTTTGGTCATGCAGAGGGACTGAGTGTTGAATTGTACAACAACATCTAGGAAGAATGAAGTGATGAAGAAGAAGACCAAGAAAATCATGATTGTATGGAGTTGTTGAGATGTTGAAAAAAAGAGAGGGCCACACATAAAGAATAGGCAATGTATGAAGCAGTGTATGGACACTGTAGAAGGAAAGATTGGTTTACCTTGATATAAAAATATGGAGAAATATGTTGAATGGTTTTGATGTTGTAGGTATGTTTCCTGATATTTTCCCTTATCTCACCTTCTAATTTCTTTATTTTACTATTACTTATTCCTTTACTGTGCTATACATAATGCTGCTCACCCAAAAGGGAATAACATGATAATTCGATGATACTGAGGTATCAGATGTCACAGTGGATGGTCCACATGTGTAAAGCAATTTGAAAAAAATAAACTACAGCAGCTGGGTATCAGGTTGTGTTGACAACATAATTGGAACTTATGGAGAGAGTAACCATTAGACACACCCAATGTAAAAACCCTGATTTTTTTTTTAGCTAAAAATATTAATATTCAGAGGGACTCTTTTGTGCGGTTGCAGCTGCACCACAGCAGCTCCTTCAGGGTGGGGGAGTTCTTTTTTTGATCTCAGCTTCTTTACTTTTCCCCCCTTTATTTTTAAAAAGCTCTTTTCTAGGGATTTTTTCCCCCCAGATGCCCGATTTTGTCTGGCCTGAGAAACTAAGCAGAGGCAGGCACAAATGAGAAACTCCCACAGAACCTGATAGGCCATGGATTGCATTGACCAACTAGTTTTATATTGCTGCCACAGAAATTAGATTAGTATGTCCCAATTCCTGCAGTGAAAATATAGTTAATCTGGCAGTTTTTCTGAGGTCTTAATGACCTTGCTGTTTGCTCTGAAGCCTACAGTGGTGGGACTTGTAGATTCTCCAGTGAAAACATAGTGATATTAATACTTTTCTCTCTCATTTTCTCCCTGCCTCTATGCCCAGTGAACTTGTCTTTTGTAAACATCAGTTTGGGCGAGACAGGAGAAAACTTCACCACCATCATCTGGATCCCACGTCAGAACCAGCGAGATGTGGAGTTTGCAGTCCATCTTATGAGCAAAACAGGTAAGAGGAGGGAAGTGGATGTCTTTTTTCTTGTATAGTCTTCATGCTGCTACCTCAGCCATGGGTAAGCATCTTTTAGGATGAAAAGCTCTGTAGATCACTCATTGTTGGCTTAGGAGCTATACTTGTTCATATATGCATGCTCCCTACAAAATCCTTTTTCACTAACATCTCATACCATATACTTTCTACCACTCTCTTCCTACACATGGGCACCCATCCTCACCCATTTTGCCTTGCATTCACTGTTGCTTCATGTACACACACACACACACACACACACACACACAGAGAGACTTTTCATTCTATTCAGGTCTTCAAATGTGTGAGCTTTCCAAATCTTCCATTCAATTCCAACATTGAATGCTGGACTAAATGGATCTATGACCTGATCCATCAGGTCTCTTCTTACTGTTCTTTTCTTCCCTCTTTCCAATCATCTGGGAGGGATGAGGAATTCTCTCTGCCTGGCCATCAGATTTATTGAAATTGCTAATTTTATATATTGGGAAATCAGTGGTGTGCAAGTGGTTGCCGGCTGGAAGGGGACAAGTTTCTTCCTTTTGAAGGCCTCTTTTTGTAAATCCTAGTTTCCTTATGAGGAAATAAGTGATTTTCAATCAGCGGGAGTCCATAGTAAAGTCCACCTTCCATCAGCTACCGGTCGGTGAAAAATAATGAAGAATGGGGTATTAATCCATGACAACAATAAACTACACCTGTCAGGGTTCCCACTAGAGTAAAATCAAAGGCAACACATTCTTCTGGTTCACCAGAGTGGGGAATCAGCCACAATCTTTCTGTCTCTCCCTCTATTTCAAACAGACAAAGGACAATGGCATGATGTAGGAAAGGCCAGGTCTGGCCAGGGCTCCTACAGCATTCCAGATTTGCAGCCAGGCAAGCAGTATCGTGTCCGACTGGTGAAAGTACACCGAACTGGGGACGTTCAAATCATTTGGGAGTCAGATGTGGAGACCAGTGGTGTGGGTAAGTTATATTGGAGAACCAGGAATCATCCAAAACATAATTATTAATTATTTACTAATTATCAATCTAGAAATGCTCAAAACTCATCTGTTTTTAAAATTACTTGTTTGTTGTTTCCTTAATTAACTTATTTGGCCAGAATAGGATCAGACGTTGGAGGATAGTTAACTCTAGTCAGGGCCATGAGTTCATTTATATTGGAATAATAATTTTATCCATAGTTTAATGTGGATCTAGATTACAAACTATTTCTACAAATCCCTCACTCAGTCAAAAAGTAGGTATTTTGGTGATAAACACCATATAAATGTCACATTTGGTAAATTTTGATCTTTTTTTGTCACTCTTGCAAAACAACTATTGGTAGAATGCAGGAAGGAAGGAGGGAGGGAGGGAGGGAGGGAGGAAGGGAGGAAGGAAGGAAGGAAGGAAGGAAGGAAGGGTTTCTAGCAACAAAAGAATGTATTGGATCTATTGTGGTATTATTTTAAAGTAAATGAATAATATCTATTGACAGTTAGCACTCTATTTTGTCTTTGGAAACTTGTATCATTTTGATACATATAGTTTGGTTGTGCAAAGCCTGCTGAATGTTTCACAAGGATGGATCCAGAACTTTGGAAACAGTCTATCTGATCTAAGTTGCTCTGGAAATAATTAATTTCTACTCATTTCCCAGTTCAATAGCAAGTTGGGAAAGATCGAAATCTGCCTTCCAATGATCAAGCCTAAAGTTTTTAAAGAAATCTCTCTCTTTTTCAAGTTTAAATTCAAGTAACATTTTCACTTTTTTGTTTTGAGATGGAATATGATTACATTGAAAAGGGAGAAGGTTTACCTTGTTAGGAACATGCATGGAAAATTTCAAATAGAGACCCTGAGGGGCTGATTGTATAGGGACTCCCTTTTTGTTCACAACTGTCTATTAGATTAACCAAATGAATCCACTAATCCCTCCCATGGGTGTCACTGTCACTTTCTCCTTACTGCCGTTTGTCCACCTATCACAAAGCACCCTTCTCTGCCTGCACATCTGCCAGTGCTATGCTGTCCACTGAGTTAATACTGTGCTATTTTAAAATGTAGGATGATTTTTCTAAGGTAGCAATGAGAGGGCTGTTGCTTTGTTGCTTCATGGACTGTGTGCTCCCAAGCCAGTACCTACTGTAACTGGTTCAGCTATGAAGCTAGGAAAAATGAAAATGGTATGGAGATGCAGTTTCAACCACTTGGCCAATGTTGGATCTGGCCTTGTGGTCTAGTTTTAGTGCTTCTCCACTGTGTGTAGATCACATCTAGCAGATAGGGATGAAACCAGGTTAAGAAATCTCTTTCCAAATTTCAGCCCCTTCTTTGGCAATTCTTAGGATTTTTTTTTTAATATTCAGTCAAAATGGGGCTTCCTATAACTTGAATCCATCTATGCTCTAGAACCAAAGAGTTCTTCTTCTAAGTGACATCCCTCCAGATATTTGAACAATCTTTCCTCATGGGAGTTAGATTCTAGTCGTCCGATCATCTTTATTGCCTTTCTCTGAGCCTGTTCCAATTTCTCCGAATGTGGTGTCCAGAAATGAACACAATACCTAAGGAGCCTAGCCAAAATAGTTGAAATTCCTGTGATTTATGAATTAAATTGTACAGTATTTCTTTTAAACATATATTAAATTATAAATCTATTGGAAAGTAATCATAGATGAGTACTCTGAATATGCTTTTTGAGCCATTTTGGATCCACTTAATTATCATGCTATCCAGCCCACATTTTACTTGCTTTACTTTACTCATGCCATGGGGTATTTTATCAAATGCTTTGCTGAAATCAAGTTACAGTTGTGCCTATTGCGTTCCCACACTCAAAAATTATCCAATTTTTAAAAAGAAATAGATAAGGCTAGTCAGACAAGAATTGTTCATGAGAAATCCATGCTGACTTCTTAGTGTATTGTTTCTAAAGTGCTTTGAGATCCATATCTAAATGATCTGCTGTAGATTTTTCTGAGGTATTAATCCCTGCTAACTGGTCTGTAATTTGCTGGATCTTCCTTCTTTCCTCTTGCTGAAGAATGAGTCCATACATTCAGACTCAGAGACTCTACAGTAACTGTTGATTGATTTCGAAATATGCTACATTTTGAAGATAAAGCTTTGAATTTGAATTACTCTAAGCTGAAAGTCCTTATTGAACTGGAAGAAGAGGCCAAAATATTACCTACCTGTTGGTTGTTAAATGCCAGTGCTAGTTTTGACTTGGTAATGAAATACGTCTTCTGATAAATAGTTACTATTTACTGGATTTATACCCTATCTTTCACCCAAAGGCTCAAGTGGTGTACACAGTTCCATATTTCCTTACAAAAACCCTACACAATAGGTGGGGCTGAGAGAAAGAAAGAGTGATTGGCTTCAGATCGCCACTTGAGCTTCCATAGCCAAGAGTGGAACCTGGATCTCCCTACTGCAATCCAAGCTCTTAGTATTTGCTCCATGCTAACGTCTTCTAATCTAAATAAAGGCTCTGCCCCTAATTTACAGCAGTGGAAGCCAGGGCGGGTTTCAGGAGTTCTGTTTTTTAAAAACCTATTTCCAGCTCTCAGTACTGAAACAAAGTATATTGATAGAATCTTGACTTCAATTTGTATGAGCTCTTAGATTTTATCTTGGACCTCTGAATCTATTTTGGATTTGGATTTTGCTTGTAATTTTGCCTGCTCTTTGCAACCTGATTTCCGACTTTTAGCTTGCCTCTTGATCTTGTGTTCAGTCACAGGTTTTTTTTAGCTGGACTATCTGGCAATAGATATTCAGGAACATGCTCTGTAATCTTCAGTTGTGCTTTCTGCTCTCTCTGTCCTTTGTGTTCATATGATTCTTTCATTCCTCTAAGCACTAATTTTTTTCTCTTTGCACATTGTAGACAGAAACAGATCTGATCTCTGTGCAACCTGTGGGTTTATTGGTCCTGTTACTCCTCTTCTCAGCTTACTACATTACATAATTACCTAAGCTGTTCTTCATTGGAATCACTGATTTGTGCCTCCCTCCTTGCTTTTTTATTCCCTTTTGGAACATTACATGCAAAAAGTTCAACTTTTGGCAGAAGCACTTATTTTGTCCTCCCTCCGATTTTGCCTATCACAAATACACTAAGGCAGGTCCGCTTTTAGGGCAAGGCAAAGTAGGCACTAAAGTAGGCACCTACGGCACCAAAGCTTAAAGGTGTCGATGTCAATCTCCTTCTGAATCCTTCTTAAAATGCAATCTTTGCATTAGCAGCAGGTGGCACCATCAGTCAAAGTGGCCTAGGGGTGCCCTATGCCCTTCCTCTGTCAATGCCCTAAAGCCGTGGTGGCGAACCTATGGCACGTGTGCCACAGGTGGGCATGCAGAGCCCTCTCTGTGGGCACACGCGCCATCGCCCCAGTCCTAGGCCTTCAGCTGGGTTTTCTAAAACCTTTTCACTTTAGGCCTCGTCCGCCTTGTGCAAAAAAAAAAAAAAAGGTTCAAGCAATCAATCAATTTCAACTTCTCGCAGGAAAAAAAATCTCGCAAAGTTGGAATTGATTGATTGAAATGTTTAGTCCCACCTGGTCTGCTGTTACCACCACAGCCTTACCCACCCAATGGGCCACACTCACCCAATGGGCCATGCCCACCCAGCACTCGATGATACATAAGTGGGTTTTGGGTTGCAGTTTGGGTACTCGGTCTCTAAAAGGTTCGCCATCACTGCCCTAAAGCATAGCTCTTATGCATTCTATTCCCTTTTGGACCACCATCTGCAATTTGCATATGCTTTCTCAGTATTTCTGTTTTTTTCCTTCAAAAATGTATTAAGATGAAAAAGATTGGAAAGAAGCACAATACCTTTTGATCAGTATCTTTAGTAGCTTTCGTTGGGGGGGGAGTGTTAATGTACTCTTTATGTTAGGAGCTCTATTATTAGGAAAGTTCATAGCTGTATTTACCTGGCTCAGAGAATAATGTCTCTTCTTTGAAAAATGAAATTGGATTTAAAAAATCCTAGTTACTCCATTATTGTATTTATTTAAGGAAATCTTAAGTCAACATTTCCATTTTAAATGTAAATTATTTGTGAAAGGTTCTAGGTTTTTATGCCATTCATAGCTAGTATTTTTCAATATCAGGTTTTTTTTTTGCAAAAATATATATTTGCAATTGCCTTATATCAGTGCTAAAGATTTCCTCCTTCCTTATGTCTCAGGTATTTTAATACATTTTGTAATTTATTATTTATAGTTGTTTTATTTGATGTGACATTTTTAAAAAAAGAAAACCACTGCAGCGTTTGAAAAAAACATGTTCCATTTTCTTACTGTTGGAAAGCGAGAAGTTGAAGGAGACCCTTGAAATGCATTAGGCTTTGGAAAAGATGAAGAAAGCAGGGAGTTAGTGACTGTCTTGCAGTATTTTAAATGTCATAGCAACAAAGACAAGAAAGCCATTTATTTCCTTATATTTCATAGAATATAACTGGTAAATGAATTTTAGGAAGACCTGAGTATGATAAGAGTAGAACACAATAGGTTTGTTGTGGCTTAAACCATGAGAATGGTGTTTTGTTGTTGTTTGTGATGGGGAGAAATTTTTAGAAAGTGTCCGTTTCTTATTGGCATTTCCCTTGCTTATTCTATGATCTAGTAAGCTATGGGAAGGGGGCAAACTGGTAGATTTTCTTGCAGGCTGTTTAACTACAGCATTATTTTATGCTCTCGAGTTGCTTAGTTGCTTTTGAGCTGCTATGTTGAGTAGTTGCTCTTGGAGTCTAACCTATTTTCATGGGTTTTGAGGCATACATTTTCAGGGTGGGGAGTAGGTGATTATATTTTGATTTTGTTGCAAGCCACTTGGTCACCATGTACATAAGTGGTGAGATATATATTTGTTAAATAAATACCATGTTTTCCCCAAAATAAGTCCCAACCAGAAAATAAGCCCTAGCATGATTTTTCAGGATGCTCGTAATATAAGTCCCACCCCAAAAATAAGCCCCAGTTAAGATCATCAGCCAGATGAACGTATTTAGTACTGTATTTTCCCTAAAATAAGACCTAACCAGAAAATAAGCCCTAATGCACCTTTTGGAGCAAAAATTAATATAAGGATCTTATTTTTGGGGAAACATGGGTAGGTAAGTAGATGGACAGATATTTTTTTCAAAACTTTACCCTGTTTAACCTTTCCTGCTAGTTTGGCTCGGCTTCTATTCTGTGCTGTTCTGTTTTAATTTACTTTAAAGTCTTATAATTGTACATGTATTTATACACTACCTAGGAAATTAGCAATACGCAGATTGAACTTTTTACAGGACTTTTCGGTGCCACTAAAAGAGATTGCATTTGATAATTTTTGGATTGCTTTTGTAACTGCAGAGTCCCTCCATATGTGGCATTGGTGCTGTTCTGGCACTGCCACCATGTCCTGATGTTTAAAAAAAAAACAAAAACCAACCCAACCCAAAATAAAACAACAACAACAACAAAAACTCTCTGCAGCCCAGTCAGTTTTCTACCAGTTTGGCCGGGCACAACAGACATTGCTCTGCATTTGATCTGTGAAACTCAGTGCCTGGTGGGTAAGCTGCCTTCCTGTGTGGAGAAAGTGATTCTCCTTTTCCTCCTCCTCCTTCTTCCTGAATTCATCTCTAATATTAGATTTCCCCCAAGCAAACCTATCTGCAGAGTGACCTGCTAATTATCTTCTAGTCTAGAGGAACTTAGACAATTTCACAGGATTATAGTACTTGAGAAAAGTGTCTACTAGCAAGACTACTCTTATCATGGCATTACCATAGGTTTCAATTGGCCTTCATATACACATAGTATGGTCTCCTTATAGGCAGGCAACCTTTTACGCGTTGCTCATATTTTGGGGAAAATGGTTGCTGGGTGAAAGGAGTAGTAATTCAGTTTTTTTTCCTTTTGTAGAGAACAGGAAGTTTATTGTTCTGTAAACTTCAGAAGGTGTCATAATTCACAGGCCATCCAGGCACTAGCTAGATTAGGGTTACCAGAATGGTCAATACTGTATTGACCCCTAAAGGTCAATGGGACTATCCAAGAAGCTGTTGTTATTATCATGATTATTCTTTGTAGTACTATTAGTTAAGATATTATTAAATTATTTTCATATACACTAAATGTTTGGGAGTTGATGTACAATCTGAAACTTCATGAAGGGCTCAATGCGCTGAAGAGTTTGGGTGAGATGATAGTGAAAATGTTGCAATTTTCCGACTGATCAGCTGGAGGGGGAACACTGATTGGTTCCTTATTTTCGCACTCTGCAGCATCAGCATAAGTGAAGATAATCACTCCGGATGGTCTGAAAGCTTCAAATGCTTTGGGGGATTGAGGAATAGAAGTGATGAAAATAATAGAGGTGGAAGCGCCCTCATTCTATAATTATGGCAATGTGGAAGCATCCACTGAGATGAAATGATATTTCCAAATTCTACATTCAGTGTGCGGGAGAAAGGGAACTTAATAAGCAGTTTGGAGGAAGGGCCAACAAAGAACCTTTCTTAGAACATATCTCTTCAGGCAAAAAGTGTTTAGAAAAGGACAATTCTAAGTGAATAGAGGGGTAAAGTCCTTCCAATTAATTTCAACCACAGAGGAATGTTTGACTTAGTTCTGAGTGGCTTCTCAGAAGTTCATCTGATCCAGCAATATTTCTAGGAATTGCTAAAGGGAAAAATCTGGTTTGACCAAGTGACCACTGGAAATCCTGCTGAGTGTGGATTGATGGCTACTTTTTGTGAACCATCAAAGGCAGAAATAGGGAAGCTCCTGTTCTCCAGTTCAGCTTGAAACATGAACAGTTTGAGGGGAAAGGTCTGCAAAGCATTCATAGCAACTTTTTCTCACAACTCAGCTGTTTCAGGTTCTCTATAAAGGGCAGGAGACAGCGCTGCAGGGGCTCCCCAACAGCTCTTTGTGGGCTCTCTCAGACTACTCAACTGAGCAGGCAGATAGGTTTGCAAACAGGATTGTGAGCAGGAAGAAATGGCCAGGTAGTGGAGGGGACGGGAAGGGGATGGGCCATGGCAGCAGAGGCTTGTGGGTTAGATGGGGAGATCCTGAACTATACTGTTTCACAGGCTGCAGGATCATATCATGTGTGCTCCTGGGGAAAGTCAACAAAAACGGTTCTTTTTAAACCAGTGACTCAGTTAAAACAAACTGCAAATGTTTTCTGTTTCCCCTCCCCCCAAAGATTATATCAGTGAAATAATCAATATTAGTAACATATAATCCTTCCTCCTCCCTCCCAAAACAGTGGCATTTTTTTTCAAGTATGAATATGAACATTATACCCTACATGTTAAGTTAAACTTATCTGTTAAATTTTCTCTTAATATTCCACTTCCATTTTAGAAATAAGCAAGTTCTTTTTCACAAGGATCAATCTAATGTAGGCATCAGTGTGCAAACATCTCCCTTAAGAGATGCAGAAAGAAGATGGGTTTTTTTATCCCTCAATCGGGGAAGAGAAGGAGGAGGAGGAGGAGGAGTCCCCAATATTCTCCCACCAGCCATATGTTTGTTTTTTTTAAGGAGAGCAGCAGCACTAGATTTTCCATCTCAGTAGCCTGTTGTCCTTATGGTGTGGATTGGCTATTGGCATCTTTCTGCCCCTTGTTTTGGATAAGATCATTGCTTGGTAAGGAACAGGCAGGTTTTGGTGAGATGATATTAATGCTAAGTACTCATTATTTTCTACAGTTCAAGAGAGACAAAAAAACTTTGCTGCGGAAGGTTGGTTCATCGGATTTATCAGTGCCATTGTCCTCCTTATCCTGGTTCTGGTGCTCCTCTGCTTCATCAAGCGCAGCAAGGGCGGCAAGTACTCGGGTGAGGTGCCCCCAGCCCCACCCTAGCACCTCGTGGCAGATCCCCATGGGCCTCCCCCCAGGCTATTATCAGTTATCAGTTATATAGCACACTTAGTGTGCCTGGTGCCGTTCGTCCTCACAACAGTCCTGTGAGGTAGGTTGTTATCGTTCCCATTTTACAGAAAAGAAGCTGAGCCTCAAAAATGGGGCAGTTTATGATGAGCTCAACGTTTGACTCTTGTGTCTCAAGTTAACACTTGAGCTGCTGGTCTGGGCTAGATGCATTTAAGCCAGACTTCCTGAGCTGGAGTCATCTTAGATATACTACCACATTCATAACTGCCTGCCAGGTTGGCACAAAATGATGGGTTTTTAGCCCAGCAACCAGGACAGCACATCAGGCTTGGGATAGTGAGCTAAAAACATGGTGGGGAAATATTGAAGATATTATAGACATAGCTGTGCTATTTGCTTAATCTGGTTTAATGATTAGTATGCCTAGTAAAGCAGGCTGGGAAACATAGCGGGTGAGAGCTCTTCTACCAGATTCTCAGCATTTCTAAATCTACAACTCCCATCACTCCTTGCCAAAGAAGATGAGAAAATATGTTTGTTCTTTTCAATTCGGGAATAAAAAGGTACCCTTGAGCAGAAAGACAAAAAAATAAATCAAGATGATGATGACAGTAATAGTGGTAGCAGTAGTACAATGCAGCTATTGTTCTTATAGCACTATTGCTTCTTTTTATAATGCTTCAAAAGCGTCTTTAAAAACTGTCCAGAGATGATGATGGATTAGTCTACTTTGATCTTCTCCAATGCCGTGTCTTTCAGAGGTGTAAATCACTCTTGTTTTCTAGCCAGTGCTGCTACTGAATATTCTGTCTGTGAGCGTTGGGAGTTGTAGTTCTAATGCATCTGGAGGGCCCGTGGTTGGGGACGGCTGTGGTACATCATGGGTGGACGTGTGCTTCTTCACAACAGTCCCTTTAACTCCAACCTCCTAGCACTATAGGGTTGCTCTTAACTCCCACCCACTCACATCTTGCTGGTTATGCCCCTATTTCAAGGAGGTAAAGAAAAATCTAGCCCCACTGAGAGACTCTCCTCTATTATTTTCCATATTTTTAAAGGTTCCCCCTCATTGCTTCTTGGGAGATCCCCCTGCCCACCCCCCTTCCCAAGGTCCCACTCTGGATGGCCCCGCCCGCTAACCCTTTTGCCTTGTGTAACATACTCTCTTTTCTACCCTAGTGAAAGACAAAGAAGACACACAGGTGGATTCTGAGGCCAGGCCCATGAAGGATGAGACCTTTGGAGAATACAGGTACAATAAGTCATTGTTGCTTTTCATGGCTAGCAAACAATAAATCGAACCAAGTAAATGACATACATAGTTCCTTTATTTTATAATATATACCACTTTCATGATCAGTTGAGATTATCTTGACACAAATTTGTATGGTTTGGGTACAAATTTAGCCCTGTTTATTTAAGTCTTTGGGGTTATCAGTCATAGATTTAGGGACTGAGGAAGCAGTATAACAGCAGGACAAGAATGCAAAAATGACAGAGGGGGAAATGAGACATTTTCCACAGATTCTAATGAAAAGCACATTAACTTGCCAACAGATGGTTAATGTTGGGAGGGGACAGGAAAAATACAGTGATTTAATATATTTATGACACCCTGTCAGCAAGTTTTTGGTGGCTTGGTATACCAGGACAGCAAAAAGATCTAAGTATTATTCACAGTGCATCAATAGATGGCTAGGACTATCAAGACTGCTAAATTATGCTCATGGGTATCATAAGATAACAAAAAGGACAAGGATTGGCAATGAACCAAAGGAAAGGAATTTCATAGTGTTTCCACTTTATATGTATGTATATAACTTTGTGTATATGAATGCATCTAAATGGTGCCAGGATTTCTTGGTGCCTTCCATTTCTCTCTTTTGACCTCAACTTACCTTCCTTGAAATGTGATGTTACTTTTTTTCTTTTTTCTCTAATCTCCCCTGCCTTTTACTTGACTAACCCAGGTCCCTGGAGAGGTAAGAATGCAAGGGGTAAACACTGAATGTTTCACTGCATGTTGATGGGGGAAGGTGAGGTTAGACGGGCCAGGACAACATTCCCATTGGCATGCTTCTGGATTTCACTGACCTTATCATATCAGGGAGAAAGAAAAGCCATTTCCATAAAGGGAATTTCAAAGTAATGTTGCTTCTCTTGCCTTAATTAATGGGGGGGGGATCCTAAAAATGGCTAAGACAATTTTAAGACGATTCTTTTCTGTTTCTACTATCCAGTGAACAGTATTGGCAAGAGGGATATTTCACACTAGAAAGAATATTGGTTAGGGACTACATATGAAAATGGCTTTTAAAATTTCAGAATACAGTCTTCCCTAAAATGACATTTGCCAGGATTATTCACCTTAGTTGCAGGTAGACTGAAATTTAGTTTGCTGTCCCTGAAGTAAATGCATTTGATCCCTGACATCTTTTTCAAAGAATCATCCCCTTTCCCTCCAGAGGGAACATAAAATATAATCAAATTATTAAAAGAAAATAGTGAGATTTCATACTTCAGGGTTGCCTTGTTACCTTTTTTATGTTTATGTTTATGTATGTGGATATATGTGCCTAAGGACAACAGAGCTGTCTTTCGTAATATGAATGTTACCTTTCTGTCTTAAACCAGAATTCTGATTTCCATTCTCTGGAAAGCAGATTTTGTTAAGAATGGAAAGTCAGAAAAAGAACTGTCCCACTCTTTGAACAATCCCAAATCTTCTACCAGGTTATATTGCAGCAATAAGAAAACGTAATAGGGTCCTTGGTGCTCTCTAAGCGTGGTGGTTTTCTTGCAGATATTTCATTATCAAACTAAATAACATCATCTGCAGATGATGTTACCTAGTTTGGCAATGAAACATCTGCAAGAAAGCCACCAAGCTCAGAGAGCACCAAGGACCCTGCACAATTCAACCCTGAGCTACAAATATTCTCTTCTATCGGTACAACGATGCTTGCTGAGTATCTTTGGTGTATGTGCAAATGTATGTGTGGATAAGCATTATAATGCTTTTGGGATAAAAGTGATCAGTGCTAATTGTACATGGTTTGTCCTCCCTCTCTTTCTCATTATCTCCATTTCATGAAGTTCATCAATGATTAGATTTAGGTAACAACCTTCCCTCCCCCTGCCTGCCTGCCTGCCATAACTTGCTATTTTCCCTCTAATTTATCTCCCCTGGGTACCAAAATTGTGTCCAGCCAGCTGCCCACCCCAGTTGGATCTCAAAGGTAGGGATACTGGCTGGCAGCCCCTCTTTGGAAAATCCCTGGCAGATGCTGTGCAGTCTGTCTGCTTCTCTCTGCTAAATTCATATAGTCCTCTCTCTAGTACTGGGTCAGTCTACCCAGCCTTTGACTTGATTTAGTACTCATTTGCAAGAGCTTCCTGGGTCTAAAAGGAGCTTCTTGGGTGCTCCTTTGGTTCTACTAATTTCCACATCTGACTGTTGATTCTAAATGCTAATCAAACATATTTGGCTGGATCCTGTTTTGTTCTGTTTCAGCTCTTCTCCACACATGTTCAAAGGGTTTCCATTTAAGTTTATGCACATCCTTGCATGCTTATTGGCCAGTGGAACTTGGAATTCAGAATCCTAATTCTGCATGCTTCCTTTTTGCATATTGGAGTCTTCCTCACCCAGTGAGGCAAAACTGGATATTTTAATGTTAGAGTGGGGTAAATCCAAGCTCTCTGACAGGTCCGGTATTTGATATCTGTTCCTAGGCATGTTCTCTTTTGATGAAACTATTGTAAACTTTGATGCCCCTTCTAATTCTTTTTTTCTATTTCATTCCATGGTTGTACACCCATCACTTTAAATATGCATTGCTGTTCTTGCAAATCTGCACAGCAGCACTAGGAAACATTGTGTTGATTTTTCCAGGCTTGAAAAGCCAGTCTAGACATACACTATATGTGTATCTTAAGCACATGGGGTCAGTGTGATAACTCAGCCAGTCAGTAATGTGAAAGCAGTTGTTATCTCAGACCTCACAGGGTTATTGTGAGGTAAATTGTGTACCCAGGTGTGAGATGGAATAACATTTTTATACATGAGTTCCTGGAAAAAAGGTGGGGTCTTGATAAACTAAAAGTAAGGCTTATCTTTGCCCAGAAAGCACCATAGGTTGAGCACTGTTCCATACTGCTACATTTGCTCCTTTTCCCCTGACTGGCCTGCTTCCATTTAAAATTCCCCAACCAGGTGAGGCTTTCACGACTCACATGTAAAAAACAAGAAAAAAGCTAAGGAAATGATTGGTCCATTAGTGGGAGAAAGTGGCAAGAAGGTGACAAGCAACAGGGAGAAAGCAGAACTATTTAACTCATTTTTTGCATCCGTCTTTGCACAAAGGGGAAAAAAACAGTCCAACCTATCAAAAACAGTACCGTAAAAAACAGATTAGAAACATGTTAAGATAGGCAAGAAAATGGTAAGTGAGTACCTGTCCACCCTAGATGAGTTCAAATCACCAGGACCAGATGGATTACATCTCAGGGTTCTGAAGGAACTGGCAAATGTGATCTCAAAACCACTGAACTATATCTTTCAAAGATCCTGGAGCACTGGGGAATTACCAGGGGACTGGAAAAGAGCTGATGTAGTTCCCATCTTCAAAAAAGGAAAAAAAATGGATCCAGGAAACTACAGACCTATCAGCCTGACCTCAATACCTGGGAAGATTCTGGAAAAGTTAATCAAACAATGAATTAGCGAACACCTAGAGGCAAACAAAGTCATTACCAAAAGCCAACATGGGTTTGTCAAAAACAGATCATGCCAGACAAATCTTATTGCATTCTTTGACCAAGTGACAAAATTAGTGGACCAGAGGAATGCTGTGGATATAATGTATTTGGACTTCAGTAAGGCATTTGATAACGTAGATCACAAACCTACTATTTGATAAGATAGAAAAATGTGGGTTAGACAGCATCACCACCAGATGGATTCGTAGCTGTCTGACTGGTCGTACTCAGCGTGTGGTCCTCAATGGAAGTGCACCTACATAGAGGGAAGTGTGTAGTGGGGTGCCCCAGAGCTCTGTTCTGGGCCCAGTGATCTTCAACATCTTCATCAATGATTTAGATGGGATAGATGGGGAACTCATCAAATTTGCAGATGACACCAAGTTGGCAGGAATAACCAACACTCCAGAAGATAAGTTTAAGATACAGAAGGATCTTGACAGATTTGAACATTGGGCACTATCTAACAAAATGAAATTCAATGGTGAAAAAAGTAAGGTTCTACATTTAGGCAAGAAAAAACAAATGCACAGGTATAGTATAGGTGGTACCTTGCTCAATAGTAGCAACTGCGAGAGGGATCTCGGAGTCCTAGTGGACAATCACTTAAATATGAGCCAGCAGTGTGCTGCAGCTGCCAAAAAAGCATTAACAGAGGGATAGAATTGAGATCACGTGAAGTGTTAATACCACTTTACAATGCCTTAGTAAGGCCACACTTGGAATACTGCATCCAGTTTTGGTCACCACGATGTAAAAAAAATGTTGAGACTCTAGAAAGAGTACAGAGAAGAGCAACAAAGATGATTAGGGGACTGGAGGCTAAAACATATAAGGAATGGTTGCTGGAATTGGGTATGTCTAGTTTAATGAAGAGAAGGATGAGGGGGGACATGATAGTGTTCCAATATCTCAGGGGTTGCTACAAAGAAGAGGGAATCAAGCTATTCTCCAAAGCACCTGAAGGCAGGATAAGAAGCAATGGATGGAAACTAACCAAAGTGAGAAGCAATCTAGAACTAAGGAGAAATTTTCTGACAGAACAATTAACCAGTGGAACAACTTGCCTCCAGGAGCGGTGAATGCTCCAACACTGGAAGTTTTTAAGAAGAGACTGGACAGCCATTTGTCTGAAATGGTATAGGGTTTCCTGCCTGAGAAGGAGGTTGGACTAGATGACCTCCAAGGTCCCTTCCAACATCATCGTCATCGTCGTTATTTTCTCATTCATTTTTGCTTGGAGTGAAAAAAGAGGCCTCCATCTCTGCTAGGAGGCGCCAGGTGGGCGTGGCCAGGTAGGCGCAGAACAAGTCGTCGCAGCAAGAAAAATAGCGTTTCTCTAAAGGGGGGGGAAATCCACCCTTTGCGTTTCAAATTTTGCCGCTTCCTTGCTTCCTGTTTACCAGCACATCTCTGGGTGATTTTTGTTTTGGCGGGGTGCTGAGTTGGCTCTACCTCCAGTTGCCTGCAGCGACTTGTTCTGTGCCTATCTGGCACCCCCTAGCCAGCCACACCGACGTGATTGCATCCACTTGGCCACGCACACCTACCCACCCCAAGTCAGCCACCCTGAGTCATCCGCCCCAAGTGGACTGCACCTAATCCTTTGCATTGACCTGGCCACGCCCACTCACCCATGCCCACCTGGCGGCACTCAGATGGCCACACCTACCCGGTCACGTCCACCTGGCTGCAATGTGTCGTCATAGACCTGGCTCTATGGTCCAGTGGGCTTCTTATCTAAAAAATTACTTCTTTAATTTAAAAAAGGGAGACAGGGGCATGCTGCAGAGTGATGGCCTCTAGCACTGTTTGTGGTTTCAAGAATGTTCCTGGACCTCAGATAGATATGTGATGATGCAATAATTATTTCATTAGTAGAATGCAAACAAGTTAACAAGCTACTTCTTGGGGGGGGGGGAAATACAAAGAGAAAACTGAGGATTCCCCCCTCCCCATTCTGCCAACTTTGAATGCTATCTAGCTGCCCTTAAAACATCACAAAAATATACTGGCATAAAATTTGCCATCTTCATTGTCTATCCTTTTCCTGCATTTTTTTATGGCTTGTCACCTGTTTATTCTTGGTCTATGGACAGAATGAGATGCAAAGGAGGAGAGATGTTGCTAGAAGATGTTTGTATTGTGATTAGATGCAAGCAGAGATATGCCTATCCCCTGGCCTAGACATATCAGGAGAGGAAAGAGAGGCAGCTTTTCCACACAGTGGGAAGGTAGAGAAAGGAAATGAGCCGAGTCTTCTCTATATGCATAAAGGAGAGGCAAAACAATGGTAGTTCTTGTGAAAATTATTCTGTAATTAAAGACTGAGAAGGAGTTTTGTTGATATAGCTCTTTTAAAAAGAAGAGCTCATATCCTGTGCTCCTTTAATACAGCGATATTGGTTAAACTGGTAATTATTCATAATTTGTAAGTAAAGAAGAGACATGATCATACTGTAGATCCCTCCCTGAGCGTACATATATCTGGGGGAAAAATGTTACGAGATGATATCAATATAAGAAGTTTAAATTTATCCCTGGGAGGGGAAGATGACAGCAAATTTTTAAAGTATATTCTTTAAAATATATTCTGAGAGCCAGTTTGGTCTAGTAATTTTAAGGCACCAGGTTAAAAATTGGGAGAGTTGTAAATTCTAGTCCTGCTGTAAGCATGAAAGCTGACTGGGTGACTTTGGGTCAGTCATTCTCTCTCAGTCCAACCTACCTCACAGGGTTGTTGTGTGGAAAATAGGTTAAGATAGAATATTAGGTATGATTGCCTCCTTGAGTTATTTATAGCCAGCCAGAGTTGCCTGACAGTGAGATGGGTGGCATATAAATTTAATAAATAATTAATAATAAAAATGATAAAGGTGGGATAAAAATAAAAAATGAAAATAAAATTCTTTATCCATAGAATAGTGTATTTATTTGATGTATATTTCATCTTTATTTTTTTACAACTCGAAATGGTGTACATAATGCCCCCTCCTATTTTCCCCAACAACGCTGTGTGGTGGCTTGGACAGAGAGAGAGAGAGAGAGAGAGAGAGAGAGAGAGACTGACCCCAGGTCACCCAATGAGTTTTCCTGTCCTAAGGGAGGACTAGAACTCATGGTCTCCCATTTTCCAGGCCAGTGCCTACAGTGCCTAAGCTGCCTTATTGTACTGTAATCATTATTTCTTTTTATAGTGCCACTTCTCACCAAAAAAACACACCTACTTTAGTCACAGGACAGTATTTCTTTGGGAATGTGTCTATTTGCTCAGAAAAAGGACTAAAAGAAAAGAACTATTAGGAGTAGGGAGAGAGGAGATAACAACAGATACCATCCTGGTAGATTTATGCTTTCTTGCTGCTTAATGGCTTCCATGACCGCCATTTTCTGAAAGAGCCAGTCTCCCAGCAAGCCATTGTTAAAGAGCATCCATAAGATGGTTTCAAAATTCCAGATGTGCCCCTGAATCCATAACAGTTGTAAACTTCCTCCTAATTACACTCTATTTTATTTTCCCTATGATTATTTGCCTTAATACACATATAGTAGTCTATAAAATCCAGACTTCAGCTAGTCGACAAAATCAGTCAATATGCTTAACTTTAAATAACCCTCAACTTCATAGACAAATGTGTGTGTGTGCGGGGGGAAGATTTTTAGACTCATGTCTATTAATATGGTAATGAGATTGTACAAATGCATAAAATGTATGTAAAATAAATATAATAGATGTGACAGTATACGAACATTCTCCGAAGTGATCTGCAAGAAACTGAATGTTGTCCTCTGGGGTGCTTTCAGATTTTACCCATTACATCCCAGGCTCACAGATTGAGATCCATAAAAACCAGACCTTTATTGTACTATAGCGTAATAACTAAATTGTGCAGGCTGTTTCTGCTTTCCAGATATGTGGAGGTTCCTCTCCCATAATCTGAAGCTATAGCAACAAATTTTGGGAACTGAATTCCGACACATACAGGGACCACATTCTGTACTTAGAGAAAGCTGTTAGTTACTGATAAGTGAAAAAATATTATATTTTAAGCATTTTTAAGCATTTTCCAAATTTAATCAAATAGCTTGTTAGCCATGGTTCATACAAGTAAGAATACAAATATCTTGTAAGGTAGCCACAAACTCTCTAATTTTAGTAATTTAATTTCAGTAGTTTGTTTAAAATAATATTTTTTCTTTAATATTGGGATCTTAGATACATTATGTAGGAAAGTCATATGTAACTACTCTCCCTCCCCCAAAAGAGAAGAAGGGACTATATAATGGAAAAGATTGGGAACATCTGTGTGAGATATAGAGAAACATTGGAAGATGAATGTTTGCATTTTGTTTCATTTTAATTACATTCCATTTTTAATGAATTCATTACAATTTGGCAAATAAGGCAACCTGCTCACAGTTTGTTTACAGACAGCCATGACTAACAGATTATAATGGAATAAGATGAGACCAGATCCAACTAATGAGATCCCTTTCATATCAGCATGAAGTTGTTTTGAGTTGTGCTCCTCATAAGTGGCCTTTCCCGTTTTGCATGACATCACTTTGCCACTAGAGGACACATCTGTGTACACAAGCACACTCTATTTCTAGCATCTTCCACAAGCAGCCAGCCCTTCCTTGTTGACATCAAAGTCCTGAGGAGGGAATATCAGTTTGGCAGACTAAGACAACATGGATGCCCTATTAATGATGATAGCTCCTTCATTAGCCAGTACTGGGGCTCCAACGCAAAAATAAATGACAATTCTGGTGTAGTATATAGCATTTGTGGTTTATCATCCCATCCTCTTAAAGCAGGTGTGCACAAAATGTGACCCAGGGCTGAATGAGGCCTGACTTTTTTTGGAATTCTAGAATGTATAGGAATTTTCACCTGGAACTGGCAAAAAAAAAGGTTCTTTGACTCTTAGGTACCTTTAAAACTCTTGAACTCCTCTTCTGAAATGGGCCTTGGCTCTGCCTACTTTAGGAGTGTGACCTGTGACATTTCATACAAAGTTTGATGTGTTTCTTGGTCTGAGAGACCCTGGTGGTTCTTATCTAGAAGGCCATTATATACATTCCAAAGGAGACTGACAGCATGCTGCCCAACTGAAAGATTCTTAGCGTGTATTTTAATGGAGAAGCAACCGTGTTCTTGTGTTCTGGGTTCCTGAAGGGAATGATCCAGATCGCCTGAGGGTTTCACCAGCTATGAAAACATGCAGAGAGGTTCTCTTGCACATTAATTGTTGAAACCAATATGGAAGGCTTAGATAGGATGACTTCTAGGTGATTTAAACCCCATCAGTCAGATCAATTTGCCTTCCAGACACTTAATAATCTGCTGCCTAAAGATGGGCCATTTCATTTTATGCTGTGACAAAGTCATTTTGGTGTGAGCTCCAAACTCTGGTTTTCCATAAAGGCAGCTGGAGTTTCCCTTTCAGTCATTCTAAGATTGTGTAAAGCCTCCTTATGGAATGTGGACTGGCCCCCTGGCATGGGTTTATATGCATGTTCACCTATAGCTATGCACATCTTGCGTATATGTGCACATATATACTACTACTACTACACTTCCCCTACACAACTATATTATTATTTATTCTCTTAGCATGCTGTGGCTTTTATCGGGGTCGCCACCCATTGCCTGATAGATCTGTTGGACTGCAACCCCTAAAAGCCCCAAGCACCTTGGATCCTCCAAACCAACCCTGCTGTTGATTTGGAACCATTTAATCCAAAACAACAGCAGGGTTTTAGATTGCTTAACTGACTTTGAATTTCTATTGCTATAAATAAAGATATGACTCTTCCAACTCTATTACCCTTTCTCATTGTTGTCCTTTTCCCCCTACAGTGACAATGAGGAGAAACCCTTCACCAGCAGCCAGCCCTCCTTGAATGGTGACATCAAGGCTCTGGGGAGTGACGATAGCTTGGCAGATTATGGGGGCAGTGTGGACGTCCAGTTCAATGAGGATGGCTCCTTCATTGGCCAGTACAGTGGCCAAAAAGGCAAAGATGGAGGTGGAAATGACAGCTCTGGGGCTACCAGTCCTACCAATGTGGTCACTGCCCTGGAATAAGTGGAGGCATTTTCCCAAAGGATTCCCCCCGCCCCCAGTCCTGGAGAAGAGGATTTCCCTATAGATTGCTGGGGGCAGGGGAGGTGAGCACAGGGTTAATCACCTCACCCAGGCAAAGAATCAAAGAATCAATGTTCTTCAAATGGAAATAGTAATTGGTGGAATCTACCCTTTGTTTACTGGCTAACCCCACCCCCAAAAAAAACTAATCAGGGAGGGTTAGAAAATCAGGGGATTCCTCAAATAATCCACCTAAAAAGTGTCTCATTTCCACACCTTCTCCCCAAGCCAGTTATCCTTCAGCCAAACTATGTCCATGTTTTGTGTGGTGGGAAGGGAAGGGAGGGAGAAGGGGAGGGACATATGACATGATCCAAGGGATGAGCTTATCAGTGAAGCCCAGGGCTTCATAAGAGGGGAGGGAATCAAGGTTCAAAATTGCCAAAAGAGCAGATGACCCCCCTTCTCAAAATCCTCAAATGTTCATTCTTTGTTCTTGTTCAAGAAGGGGATGTTAGATGGTGCTGCAATGTCTAATCCCAACCCAAATCAGGACAGGAGGCAAAACAGAAGGTGACCTGAAAGGATTGGGAACCAAGAAACAGGGAATCCTTTCTCTGCTTCTGAGAGAAAGGGTGGTTAGAAAGAACTAGAAACCAGAAGTTGTGGCTATGCAAAAGGAAGGCATACCAATGGTCTGAAAGGATCTGGGCCTTTCAATTTTGCCATTTACCACCTTCTATGGAGTCAGCTGATGATAATCTCTGATGCCTCTTTTATAAGGGAAGGGGTGCTCCAGCCTAATCTTCTGATTGCCTCTCTGTTGATCTGTCACTTTTCTTCTCCTTGTCGCTCATTTTCTAAATCAGGCCTTGCCAAGGCAGCAGTTCTCTCAAAATTGTGGCTTTCAAACTTTTTACCTTGAGGAAAGCCTTTCCATGTCTGCTCGTTCACTAAGACATTCCCATTTTTCTGCCATGGAAGTTGAGACCAATTTTGCATTCGTGAAAGCCACTGACCAAGTTGGTTCTGTTGGTCATCCTCTTTACTTCACATAAAATGACTCTATACCTGCCATTAAAGTAGTACTTGTTTGCCATAGCCTCTCAAGAGCCTCTGATCAATTGCCAAGAGATCTCAAGGTATCCTAGAAAGACCGTCGTATGAGAACTGCTGCCAAACCTGGTCTCCTGGTGCTGAACAGCCCACCTAGAACGATCCCTTTGTCCTTTCTGTCATGTTAACTCGCATTCCTTCTTTCACGGGAGGATCAAAATCCAGTTGTTTCCACTGGGCCAAATCCCACCATTTGACAACTCCTCTTCCTCCTCCCTCTGTCTTGACCTCCAATTCTCCCCTCAAACAGCAGAAAAAAAACCCAAGACCCTCCCTGCTTCTTGAATGCATCTCACGCAGCTGCCTTGCGACACACTCTTGTCTTTCAAAAGTGGCTTCTTGTTCACTGAATCAACCCCCTACCCCATTTCCACCTCTGTCTATTGTAATGATAACTATTTTTTCTCTTGCTTGTCGGGGATGAAATGAATCCTTGCTTTTTTTGCATACAAAGTTTTTTAAAATAATAATAAAAAATAATAAAAGTACTCTGGTGTTTTGAGCAGCCCTACACAAAATCATTCCTGCCTTTTCCCCTCTCTCTGTAAATATTTCCAACCCTTGTGCTTGAGTTTGTTTTAGATGTCTTAGGACTGGTGTTTTTGAAGTCTTTTAGTGGGTCTATTAAGGTGGCTTGGAATTAAAAAGAGAAACAAAAAAAGTATTTTAAACAGTCCTCTTTCTCCTGAAATGTGATGCCATTTCCATCCACCCGTCCTCCCTGCCCTATGTATTCTTCTCTTTTGTCAGGCCTGTTGCGATCTAACTTTCTCTCTTGATAGCTTTTTATATATATATATATATGTATATATATAAACAGAATTATAAAATGATAAATAAATGATGAAATCGGAACTTGCTTGGACTGGTGATGGGGAAGACATGGTTGGGGAGGTTTATCTCATGTATGTTCTCATAGGACTCCTGCATGAGAGTTAGGAATCATCTCTAAAAAGGAATCAATTTTCCTCTTGCCAATTCCTCTTGGAATTTTATGACTGTACAATACAGAGCAGAAAAGGAAGTCTGGGTAGAACAGTTGCAGGGTCAATCTCTAGCATCTCCAATTTTTTTTAAAAAATAGAGAATGTGATAGAAGAGTCTGAGACCACCGAAAGTTGCTCCCTGATAATACTAGGAACTGATAATACTAGGAAAGATGAAGTCTGATCAGATTTCAGGAAACTAACCTGGTTTTCCCTCAGCTCTCATTGACAGTGCTTTTGTCATGGTTCCGACAGATGAAACCCTTCAAAAGAACTTCGAGGCATTGTTTACCTTAAAGAATATTTTATTCGGCACTACATAGTTGAACCCCAAAACTAAATTCCCCTCGCCTGGATACAAAGTACAATTCCCTCCTCCAATACACAGTCATAAACCACATTCCCCAATTAGCTTGAAGCGCTTTCTCCCCAGCTCTCCAGCCCGCCAAAACACTATCAGCTCTGGGCCCAATGTCCTTGGGTTCCCACGGCTGAGTTATTATTGTTATGACTAGCTGGACTCTCAGCCCTATTACCCCTCCCAACATCGACTAATTCTAAAAGCATAGAGAAAATGGCTGCATTTTCATCTGTTGTCAAAGCAAGAACATCCAATTTTAGCAGCGTTGACAGCTTTTTAGGATAAGTGGTGCCCTTCAGATTCTATAGGGCTTTCTATGGCTTCTTTACACCTATACAAAGACTAGAGAAGAAGCATCTGTACCTCTCTGAGAAGAAAGAAATATTGTCTGTCTTCTTGCTGGGACTGACGCTCCATACATTTCTACCATTCCTCCTTCTACCTTCTCTTGAGATCTCTTGAGCTAGACTTTTGAAAGCATTGGGTTTTATGCCCTTTGGAGTTAATAGACAGCTGCAAAAAAATAAGTAGGGCAAGGAGAAGAGGAACCTACTGGTAGATTTACTTGCATGCTTGTCATAAATTCCAGTTTGATCTCCTAGTTATTGCTGCAAAGAATGTACCAGGCTAAATATTGTTTAAGTTTCTTCCTCCTGGTTTAAAAAATATGCATGTAAAAACAAGAGTAGGTTGGTCTTATACCTCTTGCAGCATCTCTTTAATCAATGTAATTTAATCAATATAATTGGTAGAGTAATCAAGTAAAGCTTTAATCACAGATTAAAGTTTGTCCTTGATTAACTGGTATTTCTGAGTCTGAAGGGCACGATGATGTGTAAAGGCTAGACGGCACCATTTCCCATTCTTCTGCCAAGTTTGATTAATATAGAACAAAAGGTGGCGTTTTATAATAGTTGTATTCAATAATGGCAGATAATTTTGTATTTCCACATATAATTGCTAGAAGAAGTAATATGCAAGCAGGTCTGGTCACATTTAGCTTAAATTAATATATATTTATATTTCCCCAAATCTAGAAATTTCATAATTCTAATGAGGTATGTACATGTTTGTTGGGAAAGTCTATTGTGGATCTGATATTTTAATATAATGTGCATATTCTATATCCTCTGATTCCTAAATTTATAGCAAAGAAAATGCTGATCTTTTTCTTGATGAACAATAATTTCTCAAGTGTAGGAAAAGATGAACAAATCTAATCATTTTATATTCAAAGCAATTTGTAGAAAAAGTGACACAAGGATACTTTGAACATTTCTGGATGAGATTTCCAGACAGCACATTTGATCTGTCAGTATAATAATTTCCAGTTTTTCTAACTAAGGAAGTCTTTCATCACTGTCTATGTGCCATGATACCTCTGCGTGTTACTCATTAATGTTACACCATGAGAAATTCCAGGCTTCATACATAATGTAAAACCACTACTAGAGTATTAAAATGAAACTGAGGAATAGAGACTAATTAAATGACATTTTTGTATTCAAAATTCATCAGTGCAGACTTCGCTGTTTGTAGTTACCAGGAAGCTTCCTCAGTTGCAGAATGTCTCTTGCAAGAAGAATGATGAAAAACCAGCACAATGTATGCCAAAGCTGTATTTAATTCACCTTTGTGCAATGCAATTCCCAAGTTCTCTTTACATCAGTAAGCATTGGCTAATTTATCCGTGATAACTCACACATGCAGGCACTAGCAGCAAGAATAGCTTGATTGGATTTCTTTTTCCCTTTGCTCTGCATCCTCCAATTGTAACAATCAGCCAAAAAAAAAACCTGGGTCAGACTAGTAAAGTTCTGGGGATATGACAATAGAGCCAGTAAAAACATTACCTACATTAATGGAAAAAGGAATAAAAAGTGAACAACTGCTGGCAAAGATAAAGGTAATGTTATAGATTCAAAGGACCCATCTGGTTACCTAGGTTACCATCTTAATACCTTCATTAGTTGCAACAGAAAATCACAGAGGTGAGCTTAATGGCATTCCATCTTGTTACAAGCCAACCTTTCCCAAGGTGGATTCATCTATATATTATAGATTGCAATTCCCATAATCTATACTCCCTCCTGATGCTGGCTGGGGCTAATAAAAATTGTAGAACAAAGGCAGTGGCAGAAATCCATGTTGAAACAAAGCAAAGTTGCAACCCAGTACTTAGTTATTTGGATGTAAACCACTGTGAATAAGAAATCATAGATGGCTTCCTGTCTGCCAGGCAGGAAGTTGGATGAAAAATGACTTCTCTTAAACCCCACCAGATCTTTCCTTTAACTAGATACAATGACTAACTCAAACTGTTTCTATACACAGCGGGCTTGCTTCCAAGTAAGTGTGCCAAAGCTTCAGTTACCCTGAATGCCAGTGAAATAATTTTATTGGTTGCTACAAAAGAAGATCTTACAGCTCTCAAAATGCAAACAAAGATGTCAAAAGATTGAAAAATGCATTAGCAACAACACTGACAATGATCTTGCAGAACTTAAATAGATATATGAAATGACAGCAGGTGGGGG